CTGAAGTATACTCCAGACTTTAGACTACAATTTTGGTGATTGAATGAATTACTAATAACAAGTAGACCACTGCTTTAATGTTAAAATTATAAATAAAGCAAGTGATAACACCAAACGGGAAATATATTTCAGGATAATTCGAGTAAAAGCTAAAAGTAAAGTAGTTTTAAAGACACAAATAAAAAAGAGAAAATAGATGTATCAGTTCATGGAAATAATTATATGTTTTATTTTTAAAAACTGGAAGACAGAAAATAATAATTACCTGTTTCATAGACTTCCGGATACATTTTACCATTTTCAGCCGTTTCTTTTGTAAGACCACATGATATAAGTCTAATATGTGGTAAGGCGTATCAGCCATATTTTCCTTATTCGATGTTTTTTTTTTATCCTGTATCCTCACTATATTATGCCTACAAGCTTGGTGATATGATGTAGTCTAATTACATCTTAGAATAATGTATCACGCACACTAGTGAATCTTTTGAAAAATATTCACATCAGATTATTAAGCACAGAGAAAGAGTTTTTAAAAGATATCGCGTGCATACGTTATTTCAGTCAATGTAATAGGCTCATGAAAATTATTCGGCTCACAATTCATGAGATCTAGAGCGCTTCGACTCAGTGAAATGACAAACTTAAAAAATGTTGTACATAATGAATTCACATTCTGCATATCTGATCATTTACATAAAGTGAAAGTGTTTACCGACATACAACTAACGTAAACATTATGCCAACAAATAGTTCTTTAGTTCATCAAGTCAGTGGCAGATAATATCCACAACTGCAAAAGCAGTCACAAAGAACGAAGAAATAGTATGAACGATGGTCTTCTAAACCTGAGAAAATACTTATATTTAAGGAGAGCTCATTAACTTTCATTTCACGAAACACGTGTCCTTAAATTAAATTCAAGAAATAATTGTAAAAGAATGGATAGTTAGATGTAATCGTATTTTACTCATTTCAAGCGATGTCGCTTAATCGCATCGGAATAATAATCGCAATAATTCCATTCCGTATGTCCAAATTATTTTTTCCGTATCTAATTTGCCAACTTGAAATGAAGTAGAAAATCACTTTTAAGTATCACTGTGAAATCACATAGCTTGAAGTCAGTGAATTTTTTGTCAGTATTCGTACTTTATTCACTAGTAGATGAAAGACTTACTACTCTTGTTCAGATCTGTGTGACACCGTTGTTGGCATCAAGTTACTTTGTTGAAGAATTACAGTTATCTAATAAATTGAAATATGTCCAACTATCTGAGAGAATGAAAATTGTATAGGTATTTTAAATGGATGCACATTGAGAAACGAGAGAGATTTATCTGTGTTCTACACAGATTGGTGTTACAATAAAAGACTATTAATCAGTCAAAACATGAAATCTTATAACGTCTTACAATGAGTATTACGAAATGATGACACATACGAAGGCTCAAAATTAAGTTTTACGAATATTAACAACTATCAACAGGTTATCTAATGCTGGATTAACAAGTTGTTGACTACTATCCGTCTAGCGTATAATATTAGCACATTAATGACTAGAAATTTTCAGGATCTGGAATCACTCCGGAGTATAACAAGGAAGTAGGAGCGAATCGAACATTTTCTTAAGTAAATAAACAGTCTGTTTTTATCAGATGCGTAAATGTGAACCTATGGGGTTTCCAGGCCGGCACTGCAAGAGATTTAGACTATCGATTTCAAAGGAATTAAACCGTATCTAATTCAGAACGAATTAAATTCTCATGAATGATACATTTTGGCAATTTTTCTATGTAAGGGACTATATAAACATAAAATACTCGTATTATCAGCATTCCTCTTCCTGGAAACATCTCATTCCCAGTGGCCCGTTTCGTGCCGCCTCACCTGTTTCAGGACCATTTGCCATCTTGAGAAGTCATCAAAGCCCCATAGTGATACGAATTAAGGCTAGTTTTTTCTTTTATCGTTTAGCAGAGGAATTCTGCTGGGTGGGTGGTGACCTACATACTGATGAAGAGTCTCGAAGCAGGACGAAAAGTCTGCACAGTCTTCTCTAGTTTCCAGCGGTTCTGTAATTGAAGTCACTTCGTGATGAAACTTGAAACTATACCATTTACCTACAATTAAACTACTGCTGAATATGCAAAATAAATGCTTTTTTCCAAATGACTGATTCCAGTATGGTCAGTAAGTAGACGAGAAAAAGAGCGTACGTGGCTGTTAATGTTGGGTAGCCATTACCGAATTCACAGAAGAATCAGATAAACACTTCTGTGACTATTTTTATTTTATTTAATTTTATTTATTTATTGCGATACAGAAAATAGATAGTTGATTTTTGTTTTTTTTGATTAGAGTTTTGATAATAAGCACTATTAATATTATTATTATTTTTATTATAAGATAGTCTTATATTTATCTGGAGCAACACAGATGAAAAATATTGTGACACAAACACAACCGTATTTGACAAATTGCTTATATAGACAGAATGTATCAGTGCGATCGATGGCGTGATTCATCCTCTTAGGTCAATCTGGATGAGCAAGCATCAATATATTTTTTGACAGGTATCAGATAAGCAGAAATGTTTTGAAAAAGAATTGCTTGTTTTGCCTTCCTGAAAGTTAACATTCCAAAATGGGCATTACAATGTAGTGGTACGCCCATCTCAAATTCACATGACATTTTCTTGAAAAATGTTTTTCAGCTTTTGGTCATAAGAGATATAAAATAATTCACACTAGGAAGGATGTCTATTTTAATTCTTCTTACTCTCGAAAAATGATTAATAGATGTATTTTAGTGTATGATTGTATTGCATTTCAAACATTTTATTTTATACACATTACATACAGTTGGGAAATTCATTTCATTCAATAAGGCTTGACTTGGGATTTCTCTACTGGGTAAAATCAAAATTCTTTTTCTTTTAGCCAATTCAACAAAAAAAACTGGATCAATTCATTGAAGTACAGTAAAAAAAAACGCGAAGGCGTTAATAAACTAACACCTCAAACTTGTTGTACAGAAGGTGATACCATTCACTCATCAGTCAAGTAGATAAAGCTTCACTTCCCAAGACATCTGTTTTTTTTTTGGAGTAATACTAGGGAAGAAATCGCTTACCACAGCTTCGATACGTTCTCTCCATTTGACATGAGTAAGATGAACGCACATCATAGTGACCACTACCATTTACTAACATCATCTACCGTTGGCTATTTATGGTTCTGAATACAAGTGTACTTTACTTGTATTATCATCTTGTTCTTCTTCTCTTTCGCTTTTTTTTTATTAATTTAGTAGGTCTGTATCAATAAATACACACAAGCCCTTCAAACTAATGCCTCAGAACAAATCATCCAATAGTAAGTGAAGGTTTTTTAAAATTAGTTATCACCACGACTAATTTTAATTAAGCAGTATGCCTGGTTGCAAAGAATTTATGCAGAGCAAAGTGACAGCTGAATACAAATGAATAAAATCCGAAGTTATGGTCATTATAAAGAAAACTGAATGCACTCGGTAACTGGGCTATTAGAAAGTAAAGCTGGCATTTTGAAGATTTCTAGTTAAAGTTGGCCTACGACTCAGATTTATCCCTGTTTCATGGATTTTTTTGATATACAGTAGAATGAAAGTAACGGTAACTGCTTTTATTCATTGTGTACTTATCTACTTTCCATAAACACTCACCTTAACATCAGAATAACACTTTATTCGCCTTTATCCATGGTTAACAAGACGCCTTATTGAAATAATTTTATTATATTTGAAGTGTGTGTTTTAATTATTAAGAAAAAACACACCGGCAGTTGTTTTGGTAAAATCAAAGTTGATCAGAATTTAACTTTTTTAAAACTTGCAAATTAAAAGCAATTAACGGGCTCACCTAAAATGTCATAAACTATTAAGGATGGGCTCAGTTCGACTTTATAGGTAGTATTGGTGGGAAACGACTAACTGGGTGTATGTGTAAGACCTGGGAACTTTAGAAGCATTTAAATTCACATTAATCTGTTTACTAGATATGTCACACAGTGAATCAGCATCATTTAACCATTGTGCGTCGGTGGCACAATGGTTAGGACTCTCGACGACCATGCAGATGGTCCGGGGTTCGAGACCACACCGGCGCACACCAGATATCTATGGTCGGCCTGCGAAATTTGGGCCACCGATATCCACGCTGAAAATTCCATACTTGTACCAAAAATACAGTGTGGAATCAAGCTGTTACCAATAATAATAATACTGTTCTGTGATAGTGATTTCTCTTTCAATAATTTGATGAATTTCTTGATGTGAGTATTTTTCGGATTTCTTGAATGCTGCCAGTTTAGCGTGATTAGAAAATTTTAACATGAGTTCATACTCCTGACTTTTGACTGTCTCCATGAGATTTTGTTTCGGCTTTTTAGTTGCACTTCGAATAGTGAGTAACTATTGTACGATTCTGTGATTCTCTTCTTCTAAATGTATTTCTTCTAGTTTTTTCTATTTCTGCTCTCACTTTCTTAGTCGGAATTGGAGCTTGTACACTCAGATATTTAGGAATGACTTCATTCCTGAGACATGGAATATTGAAAATCTGGTTACTTTCAAGTTTTTCTTCAGTTTGCAAAAGCTTTTTGAGTTTATTGGTAGGTTTTCGAACAAGAAGACCGGGTAATACTACTTCACTGTGTCATATATGAAATTAATAAATTAATATAGAATTATTCACTAGATGGCTGCCTAGACGTCATAAGACGCATGAAGCGGCGCTGATGTTTTTCTTACATCTGTACGTGTTGACTAAGATGATTCTTGCACCTTATCATTATGGTCTTATCTACCCATAAGTATCTTACGCTGATTCTTTTAATCTGCATTGGTTAATAGCTCGGTTAACAGTTATACTCTCTGCTCACTCGTATAAACGTGTATTAGCAGATAAAACTTACAAACAAGTAACTGTATAAAATAAATAGTGCAGAATTAAAACTTACTTGAAAAATAAAATGGAGTTTCTTTTGGCACATAATATAAACCAAAGTCACACAACGTTTGTATATTTCTCAAAATAATTTGCATTCGTACAACAACACTGTATGGTATTTTCTGTTCATACAGTTTCAATAATGCCTGAATGACACCTTTTAAAAAAACGTAAAACAATAAGAGTTTATACGGTGGTATTATAGTATTTGCACTTGTATATCATTTGATTTTAAACTAGGTAACACTGATCTTGTACTTGCTTAGACACAAGTAATTCAAGAGACACTTTCAACATAATCGGATATGAATTAGGAAATCAACTGAAATAGGTCAGCAAGTGATGATGCATTCTTATGTTAGATATCACTGTATGACAAAACACCAATATTTTTGATGATAGAGTATTCAAAAATTTGTGAAGTCAATATAATTAATCTAAAAAAGAGGTTACACACGTCCAAACGCTTATTCGAACTGAAGAAATCACAAATGCATATAGGAGTGCATTTTTGTGCACATTTCTTAAAACGGAATATTTCAGCTTTGTTTAAGAAGTCGTCTTGACCACTATTTCTGCAAGATGACCACAGTTATACACTGTTCACTTAATTCTAATCTCTTTGTAAGCGTGTGTAAGAGCTAACTACTTTTCCGATTAGTATATCATAATGCCAAATTGGCCTACTAGTTAATTATTTTAATTATACATTACTATTCTTTTATGAGAAATTTCCTTAGAATTGCATCTTTCTTTTGCTCGTGTTTTATTATCCAGCTCTTATTCCTTACGAAATTAGGCTCAGATAGGTGGTGGTTTTATAAAGTTTATGGGTAAACTGCAGCAAAAGTTACCGAATAATCTGCAACACTTCAAATCCTGCAGTTCAGCTGTATGCAAAACAATCTGATACTCCAACTAGTTTCTGTAAGCAGTTCTTAATCACTATCTGTAGTTTGCGCTGAAGTTCTTTGCATTCATTGTTTAACAGGATATAAACCAATCGAAGATTTAGTTTTTCTGAATTTCACAATATTCTCTATCTGGACTATACTTTTTGTTGTTCAGCCGTTGTAATCTAAAGTGCATTGGGAAACTCGATGTTACTATTTAAGGACAAGTACGATGATCATTAAAATGATGTATCATATTTACTTCAGTTTTCTAGGTGTAGAACTACTACAAGAAATTCTACCTGATGATCACTGCACCTTGTACATAATTGTGTATTTTACACACTTAATCTCCACCAAATTTCATTGAAGTACTTTAGTGAAAATAATTCTGTATCAGAGTATTATTACACATAAACGAAACTTCGTAGGAATATTATGATATCACTCTCAACAATACTGTAATTATGATACAGTTTTGAGCTAATAAATTTACCCACAGATAAGACCATTTGACATCAAGGCTGTAACTGGAATGCCGCATCTATGATCATACTATCCAATCATTTTTACCCTTAATGATGGAAATGATGCATTTTAAAAAAGAGAAAGCGTTACATGTGATAGCTGTCTTTATATTAAACTTCTTGTCTGCATAATTTTCGGGTGGTTGAATTTAACAGTATCGACTGTGAAATGGTTTGGAAACTGCTCCAACACTACGGAGTGCAATACATCTAACCTTTATAAATTTAAATTCAGCAGGTATGTGATAATACCACAACCAAGTAATTCAAAATAAGAAACTTAGTGAACCATTTTAAGTTATGAAAAAAATTACACAAGGCTGACTAATATCACCATCGGTATTCCTGATTTCGATGGACTGGTTCATGTGGTACACTGTGAGGAGCGAAAAGAAAGGAATACTTTTAGATTTTAGAAAACTTGAAATCAGAGGACGATTTCTGTTGAATATCAAACAAACTCATAGGTCTGTATGAGGAAACCAACAAGTTGTCAGAAGAAGCTAGCAAGAAAGATGGGACGTCAAGTGAACATCATAGAGATGACAGAGTAGCGAAAATTCTAACCAACACCAATAAACACCATTCACCACCACCGGGTGAAATCTAAAGCTGGTGGCTTCTTAAACTTACACGGGACGCATCATTTCAACTAAAACAGGCTTAGATCAGGATGCCAAATTGAGGATTAGAAAAGCGAGATAGGCATTCATTATTTCGAAATCATCGTGGAGGTTAAAATTACCCAACACTCACACACACAATACAGTCGGAATTCAGAAGTCGAACGTCGATTCAATGCATCTATATGGTTGATATACTCAGTGCGTCCATCAATGATAGCATCTCCAAGAGACTGCAGACTCCCACCAACAGCAGTCTTCCCTGGGTTTATACTGGCGATTAGATGGTCGGTCAGCCGGAATGAATTATTAGCGGTGAACTGTGAGAGGCAGGAAACGAGCTAATGGCGTACTGTTTGAGAAATCTGCAGGCGTAAATGGGGATGAGTTGGAGATGCACTGAGGTGGCAGTTGAGTGACATAACTTGTCATTCCCTTGAGTTGAATGTGAATGGGAAACGACAAGTCAGATGTCCTAGAATGACGTGGAGGAGATCGTGACGTCGGTTCTAGATTAATATAGGGGTGATTACCTGAGAAGGAGATCAAGGCGTATGGACAACCGTGGAGCAAACTGAAAAAAGTGCGGAGAAGAGAACGAAGTGGTAATGCACTGATGAAACCCCAAGCTGAACTGTGGACATAACGAATTGGTAATATGATAATGAATATGCTCGAGGTGAATGCATGAGTTATTAGCCTTGTGATGTGTGTGCAAAGACATATAATTAGAGTGTCTTTAAGTTGGGTATTGCTGGGCATAGGTATGGTAAACAGAACACTCACAGATTCATTTAAATCACACGTGCAAAATATTTTTTATTGGGGTTCTATCAGACGAGGCGGTATGGTGCGGTGAACTTAAACTAACTGTTATCTTTTCCTTGAAATATTTCTTCGGCAGTTTTTGAAATTTATAATGTATGTTATAAAAACATTTGATCTTGGTTTTCAGAAATCCTATCAGTCAGTTGAATAAATTGTTGTGCAGCTGGCTCGACTTATTTTTTTCGTATTTATAGTATCGTGTGGACTACATGGTGTTATTTATACATTATGCGTTTCAAAACGGTAAATATGGGGAGTTATCAAATTGGTTTGAGAGGTTTGCAAAGAATGTATTCAGTGACTGTTCAAACGAAGAGCTCCTATTTCTTAAAAGCATCTTGGTTCAAAATGGATACCCACGGAGCTTCGGGGAGAAGAAAATGAAACTAAAGCCAAAAAGAGAAGAACGCACTTCAGTGCCAAAGAAAGCACTTTATTTAAATCTGGAATTCAGGGGAGATCAAGCAGCAGATATCCTTAAAAGGATAATCTCCAATTCCCTAAAGAAGACTTTTCCGGCAGCAACTTTAAGAGTGATATTATCTACTCGTCTACTACTTTAGAGCGACGGGAAGGACAGACTTCCATATATGACCACTTCAATGTGCATATATGAGTTCACCTGCTCGTGCCGAGCTAGGTACATTGGTCGTTCCTAGCGGGTCTTATCAAAACGTGTTGGAGAACATCATCCAGCATGGCTGCAAAGAGGAGGCACTGGTTCAATCAGAAGCGCAATAACTGAACACCTCATCAATACCTGTCACAGCATCTCAACTGACTCATCATTCAGAGTCATTTACAAAGTAAACAAAAATCTACGAAAGGCAGTGTGTCTCCAACTTCTTTGCATTGCAGAAGCTCTCGCCATTTGCATGGAAAAGCCAGAGCTGCGTGTTAAAAAGAAATTAGTCCAGCCATTACAACTACTATGGACCTAGTTCGGTATGTTCCCTTATCTCCTTCGATATTTTTTGTTTTGTTCTCTCTGTGTGTGTGTGTATTTTTCTCTCTTTGTCTTCATCCAATTCATCCCAACTTTTCAGTTATAAAATCAGTTATTTTAATTTTATTTCCATGCTCCTCCTGATCACACTTGCAATCCGTTTCGAATAACTATTTTACAACTATATTCTTATTCTGTGTAATGTTTTGTTTCTAAACCTCTTGTAATCTATATTCACACCTCCTAACTTACATTTCAAGTTGAAAATTTTGATTTCAGTTGGTTCACACCTGTAATTCGTTCTATCCCTGCTTAATGTTTGTTTCTAAGCCTCTTGTAATTCATATCAAGTTGAAAATAATTGTCATCTTTTATTCGCCTTTAAATTATTTCTCCAGTTATCAAATATTTGTTTTGCATAAGTCGTAACTGTTTTCTAATCCTACATAATATTGTCTCTAAGCCTCTTGTAATTGATATTTGTACTTTCAAACTTTCATATCAAGTTGAAAATTATTATCTCCCTCGTTACTATGAGGAATTACATAAATAATAATTGTATCCATGTAAACTAATGTATATAAATGCGATTGTATCGCTTTTGAGAATGAAATTGCCGAAAAGATATTTTTGCTGAACTTCTTGTTCTTTTCCCTCTAATGTCCCGATGGGTATTTTCCACGATTTAAAATCTTCTATGCGCACGAGACACTGTATAGTATTCAGTGATATCTTTTTACATGAGCACTTCCTTTTGACCACCATATAGAGAGTCAGTCACATTATCAGAAACTCCTAAATTGAGGCATAATTTATTCCCAGGTGATTTGAAAACTTCTTGAAGTTTTCTTCTCCCTCAAAAAGGTTGCACAGTTAATTTATTATATAATAGAATTTTCGAAATTTGTAGGGCATAGGTGTTGTGACCTTTATCATATCTATGGCCAAAGATATCAGAATTCGAAACTAATAAAAAAATATATCAAAAGTGGATATGGTATGCGTTTCAACTATCGTCAACAGATTGCCTGTGGGAAATCCGCATTTCTGGTAAAAAAGGAATAATAATGAATTATTCTAAATAATATTTTTGATACAGCCTGGAATTTTCAGAGAGGCTGAATCATGTGGCTGATTTTTATTCAAGTAATTATGAAGAAAACTCTTAGGTAAAAACATAAAGATCAGTTTAGATGAATTTTGAGTTACTAAAAACAAAATGATATGTCATCAAAGTCTATGTTGACCAAAGTTAATTTTGGAGCAATCTCAGGCACACTGATCTTTCTTAATATCTGATTTTTATGTAAGCTCCCAATGAAATCAGTCTTAGACAATTCGGCCGTAAATCATGTTTTTGTTTTGGATTATTCAGTGTAGAAAGTCTGCATCATTTAGAAGGATGGTCATGCTGCTTCGTATTCTACATTAGTAATTTAGAAAAGCAGTTTGTAGTTAGAGATGTGAAAGCAAGTGAAGTTTTTGTATAACATTTATGAATCAATTTCTAGTTCAATTAAATGATTGTACGAGTCCCTACCGGTATACAGGGACTCAGGGTAATCCTGAGTAGGTAATAAGATAGGAAATTTAAATCACTTGAATTATTAGAAAACAGATAATATCCTGTATATTAAATATCTTTAGTAACTGTGTTATAAGAAGTAAGATATGAAGAGTTGGTAAGCAGGAAATTTCAAATCAAAATATCGTAGCACTCCTATTACATTTGTTAAAAGAAACATAATTGCGACTCATAAGCCACATATAAAAGCTTATCATAACTATTTGTTTTCCCAAAGAAGCCTGCTTTACACACTGTTTTACAATTTCTCGTCGTATACTGAAACAAAATATATTTTAAAGGTCCATACTGTAACGAGGTCATACAGAATTTCATCCTGAAGACACGGTATTTTTGATGACAAGCTATTCCTATATATATGAATATATATATATATATATATATATGCACTGAAATCGGAATCATTTCAGGTCATCTGAGATAGAGAGTAAATTCAAGGATGACCTAATTTCACTATGCCGCTGATGAACATGTGGATACAGAATCTCAAACCGCAGTGTCATTTTGCACATGAATCTTTTTTCGCACTATAATAGTGTTTGTATTTGGTTGTACTTGGTTTTAAAATTCACCACAATAAACAGCTCTTATTTCATTTTTTTCCTGCTGATGTCGAAAACGAATTAATTCTTATTTAATTTCTGCAAAATGTGAAGTTAGTTGAAGAATCTCTAAGAATAAGTAGTCCTTAGACAATAATTTCACATTTCATCTATAGCAATCTATTATCTTACCTCACTGATGAAACTATGAATACTTGACTAATCTTGAGAACTTGCATTGGGGTATTCCAGTTTAAGAAAAAGGCACATGTGTATACTTCTTCTTTCATTCTCATAGCCCTCCTAAATAGTAATAATCAATCACAAGAAATTGTGCTGATACTTTAATTCGATACTGTTAGATTCAAATATTTACTTTATTTGATGTTCTTGAATCGCATATTGAAACAATTTAAGTGTGAAAAACTAGAAAATTTGAAAGTCGATTAGTAATCTTCCATTGTATTTATTAACTAAAGCTACTTTTGTGATCTGGCCGCATAATGCATAGTGAATTTTGCCTTCAAAATATTCTGATCTCTATATACCGAGAATTCCTTGAACTTATTCCCTTTTAAACTAGCGAAAAGTAAATCTTCATTATAATAAACGTTTTTTTTGTATTTCCCAATGAATGAAAAAAAGATATTGTTTTTACTGACGTTTCGGTATTTAGTGCTAATAGCTTTATCAAAGTATTATTAAAGTATTATTATTGGGGCCCTAAGAAATTTGATAAAAGACCAAAGCATCGTTATAACTATAGCCGACTGTGATGATGAACAGGATTGATCATGGAAAGAAGGCGATTTAAAATCTATCCAATGGACTATACTTACTCATTGAAGGAAAGAAGAAATTTGGCGAATTCAATAAAATGAAACTGAAAATACCAACAGACTCCTTCAAGAACCAAAAGCTTAAATTGAATCTTCTCCTTGGTTTAAACTAAAATCAAGACCTTTTGTGCCCTCAAGATTCTACGGTCTACCATAGACACACAAACCCACAGTCCCATAAACACCAATAGTGGATTTCACCAACTTACCGACATACAGCCCCTCGATGAAATGACAAAATCAACACGAATGTGATAAGCAATTTCCCTACGTAAACACACGATGTTTATAATTTTAAATACTTATCGAATCCAACAGTCTACACCTGGTTTTGTTATCTCTACCAATTGTCCAATTTGACAGCCAAAAATGACCCATACTGAGGAACGATGATCAAGTTGATAAACTTTGTTTTGATACCATAACAGATGTACTGTTACCTCTGTTATTCGGTTTAGTGATCTTCATTGATATTGTGACCTTCAATACCTCCTTTTAATCTGACCTAAGTCTGTTTTCTCACCCCTTAACTTTTTGTTACTTGTAGGCTGAGATTTCACAAATTCCGGTTCAGTAATACTTTGATAAAGCTATTAGCATTAAATAGCGAAACGTCGGTAAAATCAATATCGTTTTGTTTTTCATTCATCGAGAAATGCTAAAAATCTTTATTGTAATGAGCACTGTATGCCCAATGCCCAGATTTTTCCAAACTGTTAAAAATGAACTTAGCTTGGACATGCATAAAATGGTAAATTCACTGAATTATGACTCTAGAATTATCTCTCAACGATATACGCCAATATGTAATACGGATAAGTGGAATGAAGGTTTAAGGCTTTGTAAATCATAAGGTTTCGAAAAAGTAAAAAAAGATTCTTTACATTTATAAAGGCTAACAATTGTTATCTAATTGGATTTACTTAAATTTCAGAATAAAGTTAAACATATTTTGATTAAAAAAAGTCGTTAATCGAGGTACAGTATACACTTTGGCGATTAATATGAGTGAACCTTCACATAGTCTTTAATTTTAGAGAGTTTTAAACATTTCCAGTCAAAATGAAGTTATTTTTTACCATACAAATTTAGCCTTAAATGTGCACATAAAGTACAACTCACTTTCTACCATTCTAGGTCCAATGTAGCCGTCTAAATTGACTTTATGTCTATGTTTCCACAAGAAATTAACAGCTTTCTCGATCGAATTTAAGACCATACTTATAATGTGTTCCCATTCACCTTCGCTCATTAAAGATGTACTGAACAGAATATCATTTTCAATGTGCGGACTGTCCATTAAAATATCAGGTAATAAGTCTTCATCTGAAGTGACAAAGTTCATCGGGTTAATAACAGTGAATATTTGGATAAACAGTAAAATTTCTATGAACAACATGTAAATGAGTTCTTATGGATGCTGTTTCTCTAATGTCCTCTAAATCCAACAAGTATATGTGTAATCATTTCTGTTCAGAATTCACTTTTATACGAAATTAATTAAAATTTTTCTTTTGAATAAGCAGTTCTGATTGGCTGTTTGAGCCTATATGGCATTTTTGGCTATTCGGTTAGTCGATCCTTATTTCCTCAAATAGAATAAAATGTTTGAAATGAATACTGATGAAATGAGGAACACCATGATATTTTTATGCCATTTGTGCATTGTTATGATTTATTGTTGTACCCGTTAGGTTAATTATTGTTTTGTTTTGATGATAAGGCATAAATTTCCGGTCAAAGCAAAAATACTCGACGTGATGGTATGATTCAGACGAAAATAATTCTCGAATAATATATATATATATATATATATAATATTAAAATCTATAAAATCTGTTGGAGAAAGCAAAATAAATTTATCAAAAATAGCACTAATTCGTGTAGAATTTAGAAAATTATTTAAAAAATTCTACACTGAAAATAATAGGATGATAATCACGGAAATAAACTGGGGTGACTGAACTTTGAGCTTTATTTTGAGTTACTGTCGTTTATATTATGTATATATATATATATATACATATATATATATACATATATATATATATTTATACATATATATATATATATATATATACGCACGTGCGAATATTTGTATATATCAGCACAGCATTCATGACCATAGGGATTATGACATTTGCGGACATCATATTCTACAAACAAAGATGAAAAATTACGTGATAAGTCAGTGACAAAATTTATGAAGCGAGCCTAAAACAAAAGAATTAGCAGAAAGCCATATATAAAACAAATATGAACCGAAAAATATAAATTAAAATTCAAACGAAAAACAATGAATAAATGTCACGCAGAAATAGAATGATTCAATTTCATGAATAAAAAGAATTTTCCAATGATCACCATATGAATTTAGCCTAAAAAATTATTCATGTACAATACAACTGCCGATGTTTCACTTTAGATTGTTCTCATTAGAAAATTTTGCATTGATTATTTGATATATTATTCAGTTTGTCAGGTTGTTACAAAAAAGCACACTGGAGGGAGTCATTCATTGAAATAAATTCTACTGTTGGTTAATGGAATGAAGACACGGAGTATTTTAATGTGGGCTTGATTCGAAACAGGGGAATCATTCACTGAAAGCAAGTGCATGCAGTTTTTATGCTCAAGAAATTAATAATATTTTGTGGAGCTGATAGTACATCTATATGACTGGGCAAATCCTAAATCATGAAATAACTAACATATAGGAAGAACCGAGGCTGTTTCAAGATTTACCTAGATGATCATATTTCAGGCAGAAAAATGGATGCAGCAAGTGACATTGTGTTTTTGTTTTAATTCTATTAACCGAAATTCTATGCATTTTTTATGGAATTTAAACTTGCAATTTGTTGACACGTTAAAAAAAATACAAAATACTGTAAATGGGATACCTGTTATGCTTTGTTTCAGTGAGGAAATTCGTTTATTCTCATTTTTTGAGTAACATCAAATGAGAATAGACGTGAGCTGAAAACTTCTCATTTACCAGCTAAAAATACAACAAACTTATAAACCTTGAAGTATTAATAGTAACTACTAGAAAACTCCATATGAAAACAAAATAAAGAAAAATACACAAAAAAGATTCAAGGTAGTTAGTTCCAGATATAAGGAACTACGAAGAAGAGCATATAAAACTAATTAATTGAAAAAATACAATTCGACAATAAAACAATTCCAGCCGTATTTGAAATGTAAGTGTTAAAAACAGTTTTACGAACCAAAAACTGAAGAAACGCGAAATGAAAATTTGCTAATCTTCTTTACTGACATTGCAGGTTTACTTGAATAAATGCCGAATGATGTCAGTGTACAACTACATACGCACATACAAACATTCAACCAGGAAATCCCTCCTGAACAGTCGATATACAATACTGTTGCTAATTTGAATATTCCATCTAGTTGTGTATTTGCTGCTTTCTTTTTATTGTTTTATATGCCTATCTTTTGATTTAATCCTTATTATTTTTTTGTCGTTGTTTGTGATTGATTCCTGTCTTTAATGTTTCACTTTAGCATTTAGTGATGGTGGACTGTTGAGGATAACTTAGAGTTTTAGTATTGCGATTTTGTTTGCATAAATTCAGGATTCATCGGTTGAGACTACATGACCTTGAATCTTCAGCTGGATATTGGTTAAATGTGTTCCATTTCTGCTAACAGAGTTTTTGTCCCACCTTGTTGGGTGTTTGATTCTCATGTATCTATCACGGCTGTTTTTGGGTTAACTTATTTTGTCGTGCAGTATTAATTTTGTATCTAACGTACTTTCAAACTGTGTAGCTGTCTAACAGTAAGGTTGAGTCACTTTTACCTTTTGATATATGTTGCTACTGTTTAGTAGTGCCACAGATTTTATTGCACCCAAATTTGTTGGCAAAGTTAAACTATAAAGATCAATAGAATGCGAATGTATAAGTTGCCTTGAGCCGATCAGTCAAAAAAACCAGTGGTTTTACATAAAACTGACATCTATTGACAAGAGAAATGCATGAAGACACATTGAACAGAATATTTTTCTTTAACATGAATTAAGAGTAAGTCTCAATTACAATTAGGAGTCTTAGTTTATAAGTTGAACCAGTTACTATTTATGTCTTCATCAAGATAATAGAAAATGAATTCCTTTTGCCATCCATTTATTGCTCTTATTCTGTTTTTCAATCTACCCCTTCGACTGAACTGATATGAGTCTCAGTAAGCGGTAGATGAAACCATCAAAATGATTCACTAGATGACAGTTGAAACCCAAATCTGATAGGCAACTGTGTCATGCTCATTCATCAGTATGGATAGTAGTGCGAGGAATGACTACTGGTAGAAAAGTGTTGGCACTACGATCTGGAATGACCACCAGAATTCCTCTCTCAATTTTCGCATCGTAAATTCATAATACCTAAATTTTATTTGCTTTCGGGTGACCATGGTCATATTTCTTCTTTATGGGAACTGTTTCATCAATGTAAACAGTAACATCAATTCCTGCTGAAAGCTGCGTGACAGTATTCATCTTCCACGACGCTTCGATTCCGCAATGATTCCATCATTTCACAGAGTTAACATAACTGCAGTCTTTAATATCCAATAACGGCAGATAAAGAATACATTTGTCAGCTGCAATTTGTATTTAAAAAAGAAAGTTCTTAGAAAACAATAAGGTGAGTCTGTAACTTACCATTACAAACATTCATTCGTTTCCTACATTGTGCATACCTTAATGTATGTGCATCACCTGCTTCTGAACACCACTGTGTGTACACAGAAGCACCACAAGAATATTTACGACTACATGCTATCAACCGATTGTCTAGACAGTACTTAAAAACGTGATCGGGCTAAAATTGTCACCTTAATTTATGAATATCGTTAATATTAGCGATTTAATAATGGCAGGTCCCATTATGCTAAGACTAGTGTGAGTCCAGGGTCATTTATGAATTCGTGCTTATAGATCATGATACTTCAACTTGGTCGCTATGTTTTTGCTGCTGTCAGGACATTTTAGGAATGTGAGGTACTCCTAAAGTTTTGGTCAGCTATACGCCTATATATACAACGGGAAACTTACAGAAGCCTTCGAGGTGAGGACAGGAGCGAGGCAAGACTGTCTACTATCGCCAATGATTTTCCTGATTGCAGTAGATTAGATAATGAGACAGACAACGGGAAATAAGGAAATAGGCGTTAAATGGACCCACACAAAAACTTGGAGGATCTGGACTTCGCCGATGATGACAAATGTCTGATTTCCCACAAACTGGTAGATATGCAAGTGAAAAGCAACAAGTTGGCAGAAGAAGCATCAAGATAAGTGTGCAGGTAGACATAGATAAAACAGAGGTGATGAAGATTCCTGGCCGACAGCAATAGCAACAACAACAACAACAGACGACGGTTAGTATAAATGGGAGGAACCTGAAAGAAACAACCTCCTTTACCTACCTACCTACCTACCTGGGAAGCATCTTTTCAACTACAGGCGGAACTGAAGAGGATATCAAAGCAGGAATCGGAAAAGGAAGACAGGCTTTCATTACTCTTAAGTCTGTGTGGAGGTCAACATCACTCACCATCAAAAATGCGATCCGAATCCTCAACTCTAATGTGAAGTCAGTGCTACTTACTAAACGGATCAGAGACTTGGCGCGTCATAAAGAGTATCTCAAACAAACTTCAAACCTTCATCAACAGTTGTCTTCGCTCAATACTCAAGATCAGATGGCTATCCAGAAAAGATCAGCAACAGGGATCTCTGGGAGTGAACCAACCAGGAACCGATTGTGAAACAAATAGGCAGGAAGAAATGGAGATGGATTGGCCATACGCTGAGGAAACCATCAAGTGACATCACTAGACAAGCCATTGCTCGAGTGGAACTTGAAAGGGGAGCGGCGTGCTGGTCGTCAGTGCAAGGGTGACTTGGAGGAGGTCATGTGAAGAGGAGATGAAAGCATGTGGGCAGACTTGGAGCGGGATGAAAAAGTTGGCAGAAAACCGAAGGCAATGGTGACGCACGGCTGAAGCCCTATGTTCCTCTAGGAATGAAAGGATATTATAATAAATAATAATAATACAGAAAATTCCATAGATGGGTGCCCTGCATTTAAACCAGAGTACCTGGAATGTGCTCATTACAACAACTGGGTCTCATTTACTAAAGTGGTAGAAGTTTTCAGCCTGTTTGGATAACACCTGTTTCAGATTAATAACTAGCGATTGCTTCCGGAAAGAGAAGTTATTCTGGCGTCGTCTTCTCATCTACTAATTCTTCAACCTGACGAGTGCGTTTAGTATGATGTCTGTTTATAGGTTTATAGGGTTTACAGGAAGAGACAAGTTGAAATCGAATGAAGTTGGATTAAAATGCCACTCCTGCTTAAAACCCCGGCTACAAGAAGTTATATAGTTCCTCTAATTCACTTTGTCTCTATCCTTCAAGATATAAGCTTTAATGGTATTATTTACTCTGGTGAGTATTTAATATACTTACAACCTGCTGACTCGGGGGCGGGGTTACTTAACATGGGGAAAAAGCATTATTGTCGGTGACAACATATTTCAGTACATGAGATAAGTGTTCCCCTTGGGTTTCAAAATGTACTCTTGAGCGTTTTATGCCTGGCTTTCAACCAAATGCCGTGTGTGTCACAAAGGTGGCAAAGAAGAAACGTCATAATGGATTGGTTTACGCTTCATATCAGATATCACTGTCTATTAAGATTTTACTTGAAAATCGAAGACGAAAATAAAATATCATGCAGTAAATTTCGCTGAAAATTCTGTACATTAATGTGTAAATACTGCCCAGAATAAAGCTAATATTACGTATATATATATATATATATATATATATATATATATTTAACTGAAAATGAGAAAATCATATTCGTAAACAACGACAGATCTCTTTAATTAAAGAATAAAATGTCTCGAGTCTGTAGCCATACGACTACTGCACTTATTAGAACACTCCGTGGGTTTATACATGTTTTACGAATCATGCTGTTTCAAAATCACTCATTCAGCTTTCAGTAAACTAGTGTATACTTTTATCATGAGCTTATTTCATTAGAATGGTGTCTAGCTTGTATTCTTGTAAAATGCTTTGTATAGGATTCAAACTGTTCAGTATGTTTTGACCGTATTTCTATTTGAAAATGAATGTTTCACTCATACATTACACGAATTACTCTGCAGTTGTGCTTTCACATATATTTAATATAAAAAATAATAGACTAAAAGTATACACTGTTTTGCTTTGATACCTTTTGATACTATTAGTTCGTCTTTTTCTCTTGAAAAAACTAAACATTACCGTGTACTTTTATAATAACTAAATATTAAAATGTTATTCTATCAGATTGTGATTCTAAATTTAACTGAAAAAGCTGAATTTTACAACGTTAACCATAACTGTCCTAAAAATATAGTTTAAGTAGTGTCACAGTGGCCTGCTTAAGTCACTGGGCTACCAGAATTTTCATCCATCAAAATGCTGAAACTCTTCAACATTTCTTATCATTTTAACCATGCAATTATATCAAATGATCACCACATGAACGCACGAACATATTTGTTTAGCTTTAAATTATACGCTGTGAAGTTATCGAAAGAAATAAAGAAAACAAAATATACAGAATTGCTTCTCTCTCCATATACAGCAAAACTACTTCACATAATATACTTCAGATTATTACTTTAAATGGAAATCCTGCGTGAAGAGGAAATATTTCGGAACTATTAAAAGCTGTAAATTTCTGCGGTATGCTTTAATTATATCTGGAATAAAGCTCAATTAACATTATTTAAAACGATTAGTTATCACGACCAGGTTTCATCGAAATTTCACGGGAAAATTTGAGGAATACTAGACGCCAAGTAAAAATAAAATTTCAGCATGAATTACATAAATATCTCTAAGATTTTCTTCCTCAGTCTTGCCTGAATTTCTTCGAAGAAAATGACTGAAAATTTGAATGTCATAGGTGTTCATGTAAAAGCAGTCATAAACTTCATTCAGTTACATAGTTCGCTTATGTCTGAGCTGTGAACTAACTTTTAAAATTAACTATTTACTACTTATTTCTAATTCTAGTCAGTATGCTGTGTGATCGTGTATATGTTTTTCGTATTCCATTTGAATGTATATATTGAACCGGTTGTCATAACAAGGTGATATTTTTTGCATGAAGATATACAGTATGTTTTTGTAGAGTAAAATAAATATGGACATAATGCATGCAATTTAGATGTAAACATTGAAATAATAACGAAATGACATTTATAGTGAATTACATTTACAGCTCTTTGGTTGTCTTCCGACTAGTGTTGTCTATAATATTAGCAGTATACTGAAGAAGTGTTCCACTAATATTAAGAACAAACGGCTAACTTTGGCATCATATGAGACGGGTTTGAGTATCCTGTTGTTTTAATTACGCTTTGCTGATGAAATGAATTTTCACAAAATGCCTTATTCTAATGATGTCATGAGAAAGAAAATAATTCAAGGTTTATTTTATTTTTTAGATAACAATATAATAAAATTTGTTATACACTCATAAAAATAAAAAGAAGAAAATAGCCTGTAGAATTTTCTCAAGGGGTCTGTAAGATGTGCGCTTTTATTACCACAAATTTGGAGGATGTATGTTCAAAGTTTCTTGAACCCAAGTTCCCGGTTTAGATTGAATTGAATCCCAAAGTGTTGTGTTCGGTCTTCTTATACACTGCTGATAACAATCAGTGTCTTCATCAGTGGGGTTTTCAAATTTGTATTCCGCTCCTATTAATCAGACGGTGAGTAAAAAGTATCGTATGTGAATTCGGTTAATATGTCTACAATATTTATAATAAGGAAAGTCTTTAAGTGTAAAAGATGAGTAATAATTTTTGAAACAAGTAGCAAAAGAATGCACAGATATAGTCTTGATCATATTGACTGATCGCGACCGACATAACAAAACAAATGGTTTGGAATTTAAATTGATGTCATATTTCCAACACTACACTTTTTACAGACTCATTTCTATAGACGTTATCGCCTCATATTACCCACCTCTTGAGTAAAAATGACATTCAAGTATTGGTTTGTAGGGGTCTGATTGATAAGTTACAGGATTTCATCATGAGCTGACATTGCTTAGAGAACCATTGGGAAACTTGAGAGTACTGGGCGGCCGTTTCGCCCTAGTTTGGGACTCTTCAACAGCACGCGCCCAGCAGGGTTCATACCCAGGACGTTCTGGTTACAAGATGAGCTCGTAGACCAATAAGCCACCGGGACCCCATCCAATAGCGAAATAGGAAAAAACACCTGTCCAGTACTCCCAGGTTTTCCAGTGGTTCTCTAACCGCTGTCAGGCCATGACGAAGCCCTGTAACCAATCAATCGAATCCTTGAAAACTAATACTTGAATATCAATGAGATGCTCACTAGCGACTAGGCCTATTCAGGTGGGTAGTTACCTGGGTTCTAGTGAGAAGTCGTGACCAGTAGGGTGCAGCAGGTCAGATGTGAGGACAAATACTCATCAAAGATACTGGCTGGCGGTCGCACTATGTCGTGAATTGGCAGAAGTTGGAATTCATAGACCATTAGATCGGGTCTCCGTGGCTTGATGATCTATGAGCTTGCCTTGTAACCAGAAGGTCCTAGTACAAACTCCGGTGGGTGTGTACTGATGAAGGACGAAACAGCTGTCCAATTATCACAGTTTTTCCAATGGTTCTATAACCGCTGTCAGCTCGTAATGAAAAATGACATTCTTCACAAAGTCCAGTTTGTTGGTTTACTATCGGTGTGTACTGATGACAGGTAAATACATGTAAACAAAATACAGACTATAAAGTTCACTGTATAAAATATAAAACAAATATCTTAACGCTACTCGAAACTCAGCATTTCATTACACTTTTCAAACTTTTAGTCTAGTGAACAATATCGACTAACATCTACTACAAGGGCTGTGTACGTTAATTTGAAGTGTTCTTGTCTCATCACCTAACATTACAACAGTTGCAAAATCTAACAGTTATAGGATCAATGGGGCAATATTTTCCTACGTAGCTGCTGAACTGCATGCACTTCCTGTTTTACCTCACTGAAGTAGAATTCATATTATCAATGTGTTCAACAATACAGGTGTGATATTTTAAATTGTTAATTTTTACAGGAAAATTCACCTTTCGTGCACAGTTGTACAAATCCTAATAGTTCTGGAGGGCCAGTTCTGTTGAATCGATTCCATATAGTTAACTTCATTGTAAATTTAGACAGATCACTAAGATATTTGTCTGGAAATTTAAGTAAACTATTCCACAATGGTTTATTAGTTCTTTGTATATAATCTGTATTGTGACTTTCTGTAACATTGTTTTCATCAGTTAGTGCCCTTTAAAATTAATAATATAAAAGATGGTAGAGTAGATACAAGTATAAAACTTGTGCACTGTGGTAGAGTATAACTCCATTACGGATAAGATTTTATTTTGATAAATCACACAGTGTTGTACAGTTATATTAACTGATGACGTTTCGAGCACAAACTATCGCTCATAATCACATCAAGTAACTCACACAAGTTACACTCACACACGTGTGGGTTACTTGATGTGATTATGAGCAATAGTTTGTGCTCGGAACGTCATCAGTTAATATAACTGTACAACACTGTGTGTGATTTATCAAAATAAAATCTTATCCATAATAGAGTAGACACAGTTATGAAAATTAATATATCAATTTTTAAATTGAATCTAGGCTGTATTTATAACACAGAGGAGTACTCCAGTTTTCAAATACCTACCATGAAGTGATTTCAATTACTCTTTGACTTATCATTGTAGGTTTGGCCTGCTGATCAGCTGATGAAAGACATTGCACTGAAGTTATGTTCCGGTTTGAATAGGTTCGTAACATGCTCTATACTTTTCACTTTTCTTAACCTAACCAATCATTAATAAGGCTGGATACATTTAGATGATAAATAGAGGAGGATCGCACTTTCTTTATTGTTGTATGCACAGGTTAAATGCCTGATACACATTTATGCAATTTTAATTATTATTATTAGTTATTAGATTAACCCATATGACACTTGATTTTCTTAACTGAAAATTCCAACATATGTAAAGGAGATGCTAGCAATTCATTAAGTCACGCTGTAACATTACAGCGAACATATTTTAGGATAGGTACGAACGTAAAGCTCTTGGAAGGTCCATTGGTGCTCCCAAGTTATGCTAGAGATATGTTGATGAAACATTCACAGTGTTGAAATCTGAACATACCCTCAAGTTCTTTACACATAAATTCAGTTGTGTTGCAGAATAGACAAGGTGAGTTTGCTGTACTGGACGGAAAAAAAGAATGAAAACAGCATACTGGGTTAAATACTAGCGTCTACAGAAAACTTTATGATTCGGATAGGTAATTAGACTTTAAATTATCCCATCCAGAAATTAGTTAGCTTAGATCTAGTGAAATATTAATCTAATCGAATCCTGATTGATAAGCTGGAAGATTTAAATAGCGAAATCAATTAAGGAAAATTTTTATAGTAAGTGCCAATCAGGATCTATTCAAAATGTATAAAGACCTATAAATAAGGACTAGTGATTAAAATAAAGAAAAAATAATAAACGACAAGGAATTCAAGACATCTGTGGTGCTACAATATAAAGAAGGAACATGAGAGGGCACACGTAGGCCTTGTAATAATGCTGGAATTCGGGTAGCATTTTAACCTGTCAAATCACCCAAGGAACAACGTTTTCGTTTTATATACACATGTAATGACTGTCAAGTCAGTTACGCAAGACAAGGTAAGTTAGGCTATTGGAGTATAGGGATTTTAGTAGAGCTAGAATGATTGTTCCTGCTCAATTAAACAACTTGGAAAGGTGCTCCACCAATACAATGCATTCCTTTGTATGTAATCATGCAGAAGGTTAAGATGGATTAAAAGTATTAAAAAGTAGTGTAGTTAGACGGATAGAGAGATTAATCACAGAATCTTTGTTAATCGAATCAAAGCCAAATATGTACAGTCAAAATGAAGGAGTAAGGGCATAAAATACAAATTAAGAAGTTGTGTGAATACGCAGATATAACTGTGGGCAATAAATTCTGCTGGGAATGGTGTTCACTGACTAATCCTGTATCATAGTGTGTTATATCAAATGAACTTATGCAATCTGGAATTCCATTCTCTTATAGTACCCCAGTTCTACTTTATCATAAACCTTTACACCTTTTAGTAAATACAAAACAGTTCTTTAGTCTCTGAAGATGACTTCTTCGATAAAGAATATTTCCTGAAATATCTTTTATCTTTTGGATGAGTGATTGGGTATTTTCAGTTTTTCAAAATTATGTTGAATGTTGTACTGTTAGATATCGAATAATAGTCATTAACAACCTTTTTCATGTTTCTTTTAACAGCAGCTCATTGGACTACGCATATAATGTCACTACTTTTACGGGAGATATTGTAGTATATTCCGACACGCCATAACAGGACATAGTTTAGTAAATGTAGTGGAAACAATATACAATATACTACATATTGTATAAACTAATGTACGTGGAGTATTTCATGTTGCAAATGGAATTCAGATGTAAATCTAGAAGGAGGAAAAACTTTCTGACAGAGACGCTAATTATTTTTGGTCCTGAAAACATACAATACCTGTAGTGATTTCAAAACTCTGTACTTTAATTTACCAAACTGATAGTTATTCAGTTTTCAAGTGTTGGTTTCTAGGGATTTGATTGGTTTCAGGATTTCATCATGAGCTGACAGCGGTTAGAGAACCATTGGAAAACCTGGGAGTACTGGACAGCTATTTCGTCCTAGTTTGGGACTCTTCAGCAGTACGCACCCAGAGGGATTCGAACCCAGGACCTTCCGGTTACAAGGCGAGCTCGTATACCATTAAGCCACTGGGACCAGATCCAATGGTCCTTGAATTCTAACTTCTGCCAATTCACGACATAGCGCGACCGCTAGCCAATGTCTTCGGCGAGTATTTGTCCTCACACCCGACCTGTTCAGTTTATTTGGTCGGCAGCATTCAAGCATACATTAAATTTATTTCAATGAAATGTATGTCCTTGCAGAGTGTAACTTCAATGCCTGTAACTATGGCAGTTATTGGGTGTGGAATTTACAGCAGAACTAGCTGAAGGATAACATGCAACTTTTAAAAGCAGAAATAGCTGATGGTTCACACATTCAATAGAAACTTGCACTCAGTAAGCTAAACTGTTGAAATTGCTTAAAGTTTGTAGACTCATGAATTACGGTTATATGTCCAAAGATATTTATTTCAAGTTTAAGTATTTTTTTCATTGGAATGACTTATGATTTTTTCACTGAGTTTTAAAGCGTTCATTTATAGAATTTTATTTATAATTAAAGTTGTTCCAATGGAGCATTTTAGCTGTACATTTGACGAATCACTTTCCAAAGTAAGTATCGAACAGATAAAATTGGTAAGCAAATAAAGTTATTAATGTATTGTTAGTTTCATGTAAATTAATTCAGTCTTTCAGCTACAGGCTGTGTGGAAGCTAATCAAGTTACTTTCCAGAACATAAAGCATATCTATTTTATGAATGGACGATGAGTAATGCAAATGAACGAGTGTATTGTTATCTTGATTATACAGAATGTCTTTGTCTTATTTTTGTATATTCTAATTGAACACACTGATAAATACATACAGCAAATATATACGGATAATATTTCAAGTCATTAAGAAAACAATAGATACATTCTTTAATATATATATATATATATATATATATAGCATGATTCCCTTTTATAAATTTTAACAAAAAAGAAAAAACATTGGCGCAGAATAATCTGGATCCATTTTATTTTGTCGGGTTCTCATCAGCTGCGTACAACCTGAATTCTTTGATAAAATAAAAAAGTGTACAATTTTAACAAAATTTTGTCCATTAGCAAGGTAATTGTCAGAGCGTCATTGTGAAATAAGGCTTTGCGACTTATAAGGTGTCTAAAGTGTTATGACATTATATATATATATATATATATATATATATACCTTGTTAAAGAGAAGTTTCTTGAAAATAAATCAACTAACAGTTGTGTTGTTGGGGCGTTGACAAAAGGAAGTCGGTGATAGTTACGTAATTAGATAAAAGAAGATCAAAATTTCAGTGTACATGAGGTCAGATGAGAAGTTGATGACGTATTAAAGTGAGGAGAATTCATAAGATCAAGGATCAAATTATCTCTTAAGAGAGCCAAGCAAAAAATAAAGATAAGTTAACAAAATTAGAAAACAAAGAGTTACTAAGATGTGAGTCACCAGGTTAATTGAAATCCCACAACGGAGTCTTTTTAGACACATAAGTCAGGCTTAAATCGTTTTATTGCTATAGCTTCAGCAAACCTGAGAAGACTTGAGGTACTTTGTCTGTTAATTATTTTGAATGATTCCAGCACATCTACTCGGTGTCTTGTGTAAATCAGGTGATTGGCGATTGAAGAGCTTAAACTCTCCGTTCCTTTAACCGGAGGCTCCTTGGTACATATTCGCAGAATCTGACGTAAGCCCTCCTCTCTGTTCTTACAATGTAATTGCTCCCGCAGACATGTGAATTGGTATGCACAGTTGGAGGTAACAAATGAGGGGTACCTGTCAATCTTTGACTGCATCAGTGAGGAGGTTATCCGGGGTAGAGAGACTAATGATGCTGCAGGATACGTCCTAGACAGGGTTGCGCTTAACCTTTTATTTACCATTCTCATGATGTTGTCGCCCTTGTAGTGAAGTTTGATGAAAATAGGCTTCTTACTGGCTGTAGCTGTATCAAGCTTCCTGAGTTCAATCTTGCCATATTTCTTCATGAAACTTGTGGGTAACCATTTTCTTTCAAGCATTTTTCAGAAGCATTAGTTCACTGTCTAGTTTGTTTGGTGAACATATTATCTTCGCTCCAGAGAAAAGTGTTTTCATCAGCGTTCGCTTGTATCTCACTGGGAAGAAGCTGTTGAAATGTAGAAACGCTGGTAATAATCTTATATGCGATAGAATTCAGCGAACAATCCAAGTTTAGTGCAGAATCGCTAGTGTTGTCTTCATATTTTTAAATCAGTGAATGATTTTATAGTTTTCTCAATGTCCACGGTATGTTGCTCTCATGCAGATTAGTTCTGCCGTCATCAGTCCCAATGTATTAAAAATAAATAAGACACCTATTTAAGTTCTCAATTTTAGTGTTTTTCAAGACTTACACTACGAATAAGATACGTATTCAAAGGGATTACAGCATATTATGCAGTATTCCTCTGATAGCAAGATCAAGAAAGCAGGACAGACGTTCACTGCACTGAAATCAGTGTGGAGATCTACTGAACCCAGAATAAAAAACAAGACCCAAACTTTTGCTACTAAAGGCATGTTAGTGAGTGCATCTATACGATTCGGAGACTTTGCGCGCGTGTTTTGAAAAATATTTACTAATTGGCTAATGTAGACTTTCATCGACAACCACATTCACTTAGGGCTGATGATCAGATAGTTGGGGTGGGAAGAACAAACAACAAACACCTCTGACAGCAAACCAGCTTGCGTCAGTGGCACAGCGGTTATGACTCTCGCCGATCATGCGCATGGTCCGGGTTTCGATCCCCTGCCGATGCACATCTGATATCTATGGTCGGCCCGCAAAATTTTAGATACCGATATCACATGCTGAAAATTCCATACATGTACCAAAAATGCAGCGTGGAATCAAGCTATAATCAAAATAAAAAAAATAGGAAATGGAGATGAACCGGATATACACTGAGAAGATATTTAAGTATCTTTATATGCCAGAACCCCGAACGGGCAGCGGCTAATTAGGTGTCTAAGGGTGGCATGGAAAGATTGCCTGAGAGGTATCCGAAATCTTATGGGCTATCGTGAAGCCAGATAAAAGGACTACACAGAAACGAGCGATATAACGAAATGACGTCATTTAGAAAGTCACTGAAAACGAGTGACTGAAAACAAGGTGGATAGTCTGAAATTCTGATGAGAAGTTGTGACCAATAGGGTCCATCAAGTTGGGTATGAGAGAAGGCGTGTGACCATAATACTAACAATAATAGTAGCTTTATTCAGAAAAATGAGTTTATACACAATGCAGAATTTACAAAGTGATTCACTGAAAGGTATTTACTCCTTGTTCAGAGTCTTTAAATAATATAACAATCGATAATATATCACCTGAAGAAATAATAACCCATCTGAAGCTTGTTCCAGTAATACTTCAAAATGTTATTCATCTATTTCTTTTGAAAAATTCCTAGCGGTAGATAGAAATGTATTTGAAATAGGCCACTAGTAAGAATTGTGACTTATGGAGATAATCAGATCATTAAAACTTTCTGAAATGAAGTAAACACGATGCATTTTGGTAGCCAGTGGGCCACCGCTGAGTCTGGCACTGTTTATCACAAAATGGCAGAAGTCAGAATTCAGAGGCTGTAAGAATTCGTTCCAGTGGTTGAATAGTTTACGGACTCGTCTCGAAAACTCAAGGACCGGGAATCGATTCCTGACAGAACCACAGTTGCCTACTTCTAAAGATCCACACACCAGGGAGGAACAGTCATCAGCTACTCCCTGTTTCCATAACTGATGCTATTTCGTAGATTTGTCTTAAATCAGTCAAAACTGACATTTGAATACAAAGTTATACATCAAAGTGAGTACACATCCCAATTAGATAGTCTGAATAGCACATATACTCGAAAATAAAATGTAGCCACAAAAGCCTTAAATAAGGTTATCTTTAGTTAGAGTTTTCTTTAATTAAGTCAACTTCAAACCTATTTTTCTGCTAAACGTTCTAATATAGATGATAAAAATAAAAGAATTTATTTAACAAATGAAGTTGCCTTTTCAGTAGATACTTACACAGTCACATAAGAAGTTATCTCTTTACTCGATTTTGATGACAGATTTATTCCTTTCTTAATCCACACTTCCAGTGTACCGCATAGGTCGATAGCTCCATCAGTCACTAGCACCATACATTTTTGACTTTCAGAAATAGAAAAACGAAGCGCAATAATAATTTGACCATTATAATGTGGGCTCATTGATAAATATGACAGGTGATTCTATAAAGAAGAAATCATTACTAGTGAATAAATACCAAATAATGGATAGTTAAGCAAAATGTAAATTCACTTAAGCAGTGTATCCCTCATAATATTTCACTTTGTTTCAGTGGCATAAAAACTTCATGTGTGTAGGACATCTACGTTGACTAAATATCCATCTACGGTACTGAAACAAATTAATTTATACAAGAGGCAGTGACTGCATTTGTTGTCTGAATTCAGACGCAAAACAATAATGTTGATAAAAGGTCTCATACTGTCTGAGCCCAACGATCATGTATATCTTCATCTTTTACCAGAAGTTCAGTCGAAATCAATATACAAAACAGAATTCCATTTCTTTATTACTAATCAACACTTGAAAGTCTGGATAAATTTATCATATTTTTCTTTCACGCCATTGTGTAACCACATTGTCTATAGTCTTCGCGTTGTTGGTAGTACCTTAGAGATCACACATACTCCTACAGTCGGGGCTTTTTTTACTGCTCAGAATCAGCTTAAATTAATTTCATATTTATTTTACATTGTATTATTTAACTAATTAATGTTAAGTGAGAGAAAGTTTGTAAAACACCTTAAACAATGTGCAAAAATCAATGGGACTAATTTTAGAACTAATACTATAGATGTGTCATGAGATCAATGAAGAGTTTTTATTACTAGGACATAAAAGTTCAACTATAATTTAATTCTAACTTTCTATTATATATATATATATATATATATGATTACATATTTTATAAATTTATACTTTTCGAAGAGTAAGTAAAAGTCTTCTGATGTTTACAGATACGTCTGATGTTGAGAAATATTTGAAAATTTGATTTATAAAGAATTTGTGTGCATACCGTTCATCAAACTATATATAACTTCAAAATATCCAGGAAATACAATTTTCTTAACCACTCGTCATACATATAATTAAATTCATCTCATATTTTTAGCATTTCAAAGTTAAACGTTAATTGTGCGTATGAGGTTGTAGTACATCAAATAAAATTGGTGTTTTGATCGCCTTGGTCCACTTACCTCTCCTTTCAGTAATCTGAACGTCTGTCTTTGTATTGAGTTTAGATTGTATTCTCCAACCGGTATAATAACTTGACCTAGTGTCATCCTTGATATAATGGCCTTTTTACACCACAGCTGAATAAAAATTATTTTTTTGTTTAAATCATATACATGTATTGGAAAACACACACTTTTGCAAAAATCGGAGTCGACTTCATTCCATTTCTGCGGATTTAACAGTTTTATATTGTATTTAGTGTCATCTGGTAGTAATTGGACTGTAGCATATCTAAGAAATATTTGAAAAAGAATATACTCCACTGTTCCATGCAATGAATACTTTTATGATGATAATATTGTTTTTTAAATACTTCATATTATGTTGAGTAAACCTCATGTAAGAAGACAAAATTAGTTCCGCACAATTCAAAATATAACTTTGTAAGTAGCTGTCTTTATACAAACGGATCTTGAACGTGCTTAGTGTTAAAGATGGATAGTTCAGCTATCAGCCAAACTTTATATTCTATGAATGAGTTTATGAGACTGAGGTAACAAAGTTTCTTGGCTAAATCATCTTCAAGACCCAGAACTCAACACAAATTTCAACATTCAACTTTATTTAGACTGTGTTGTTAACATAGTGGAGTGATATGCGTTCGAAAGACTATAGTAGACAAAATCAAGGTTAATTATTGATGTTGCTCGAAATTCAAACTAGTTCCAATATGAAATAAAGTAATGAAAACTATTTAATTGTTGTAAACACAAAGTTTTCCGTGTAACCATGTTTCACTTCATCTCCCAATATTTCGGTTTTATATTATCGTTTTCTGCTGTACATTCGATTATTGTGATTAATATTCTCCTGTATCACCTTACCTGTTGCATATTGCACTGCTTTTAATCAAGGTAATTATCCAGTGTTTATCAGAATAATTCTCTTCAATTTAAGCTTTTTAATTCAGAAACTAAATATCAGTGTGCTTCTTCACAAAAAAATTAGCGGACATCTGGCATCAATATTCTTCATCATTAATTAACGAAAGAAATGGTTGTCACACATTGTGAAAGCACACATTATCATCATAGATTCACTTGAGCTCACCTTGTGACCAGAAGGTCCTGGATTCGAACCCCAGTGGGTGCGTACTGCTGAGGAGTCCCAAACTAAGACGAAACGGCTATCCGGTATTCCTAGGTTTCACAGCGGTTCTCTGACTGATGTCAGCTAATGATTAAATCCTCGATACAGTCAAAAAAGTCCTTACAAAACCAATACCTGACAATATGTTGACACCTAGGACGGGATTTTCAGCATATTTAAATTGCGAAATGTCTACCCCTCGTACAAGGTTTTCACGTAAAATATTTTTCGCCATTATATCGTGTGCATCTCTGCTGTTTCATCTGAAGCAGTATCCAATCTTCTCTCATATTTTTTTCTAATTTACTTTTGAGGAGTGCCCTGCATTACTTTGATAGTAGACCAAAAATGTTATAAGAGTAAAACTTGTGCACTGTGGTGGAGTGTAATTCCATTATGGGTAAATTTTGTTTTGATAAAGTCTCACATTGTTACACAGTAATTTTTACTGATGATTTTTCGAGCACAATTTATTGCTCATAGCCATATCAAGATACTCACAGAACTTTCCAACTTCGCTTATATAATTCCTTTATTTTCCATCGCATGATTTAATTGGTAGTAGTCATAAGAATTAAGCAAATGTAAGAATGGTAAGTAATTTAGAAAAAAGCTCAGCGATTATAATTCATGCATTAACACACAACCACACAGTAAAGTGGGAGAGGGTTAAAATTCTAAGAAGTAATATGGGTAGATGGAGGTTGATTACTGAATCCTTGTTCATCGAGTCTACACCCAACACATGCAATAGAAATGATTCATCACTCATACCGGAAATTTGGAAGATACTACTAACAATCAAATCAAGCGATGGAAAATAAAGGAATTATATAATCGGAGTTGGAAAGTTCTGTGAGTATCTTGATATGATTATGAGCAATAAATTGTGCTCAAAACATCATCAGTAAAAATTACTGTATAAAATTGTGAGACTTTATCAAAATAAATTTTACTCATGATGGAAGACTAAAAATATACTCCAGTTCATAAGGCGATTCAAAAACGTAGTTGGATGAATAAAAAAGTATGAAATGAAGAGGAATTTATGCCTTAAACTGGATAGAAATTGGGATGGCCAAGGGACTTTAGCAGTCATTATGCAAGAAAACAGAAGTAATAATAATGAACCGAACAAAAACTGGTAGCACGTCTTGAGTCTATAAATTGGAATAGAAATAATCTACAAAATCCAAAAGATGACAAGAAGTAATTACATCTGAATTTGTTAGAATTATTTTTAATCTGGAATTAGTGGATGGTGACTAGTAGGGGAATCCAGAATGATCATTTCGTCCTATTTGGGACTCGTCAGATGGATGTAGCTGCATTTTTCAGTGAGTGATGATGTTCCCACCGAGGCTCGAAACCATAGTTTTAACCGCCAAAGAGTTATTCACTAGACTATTTGTGCCATGAGAGCCACCTCTTGTGCAATGGGTTATATTAATTTAATTTTTGATTTTCCCATCGATTGTTTGAACCGATTCAGTTCATAAGTGAATTGAATCGCCTCCAACTCTGAGTTGATGTGTTCGAAAAATCTCTCTATATACTGAGTTCTAAGTACGATGAATGTGTCACCTACATACCTCCACCATACTTTTGGGGAGAGGCTGAACGTTTTACTCACTAACTATCCATGAATATATCTGCCACAATCAGGGATATTGGTGACTCTATGGCAACTCTCTCAATTTGAACTTAAATAGCGTGGAAGTCAGGCATGGCTGCACTCACAGCATTATGTCCTGCAGTGGCACTTTCCTTCTAAGTTCGAGTTCCTGGTCAGAGATGATTGCCTTTATAGCCATATTTATTGGTTTACATGCATATAGACAGACAATGCCAAAACTAACCATTTTTTCTTCACTATCTAATTTTGAATTATCTGATGTATGTTTTAGTTCATAAGAATTGGTTAGTCTAGATTTTGAGTAGCTATTAAGAGTATTTAATACCATGGCTAAATATTTAGACATTTCATAAGTAGGTGAATTTCCAGAATCAACTATATATGTGAAAGGGTATGCTGACTTATGAACTTTAACAACACTATACATCCTACTGAGGTTATTAGTTTTCGGTATTAATTCAAACCATTTAGACTCACCTAGAAACGGCTTCATTCGGCGTGGTAGGTCCCCTGTGGATTTCTTAAACTTATTCAGAACGGTGTCTATTGGCTTCTTAATTTCCTCATTTGGTCCTGTTTGTATGTGAGTATTCACCTTCTGCAAGTAATCTGCTTTATCTAATATTACTGTTGCATTTCAAATGTCTGATTCAGTGATTACTATTTCTTTGTTATTTTTAAGGTGTTTTAGTGCTTCTATCTCTAGTAATCTGTGATATCACTAGGTGTATCGACAAAGTTTGTTGCACACTCAAAGTAAACGAAACTGTTTCATGACAAAATTCCAGTTCCGAACTTTGAAATCCCTGAGAGTAATATGCATTGCCAAACCTGTAGTGAAATTTAGCGAGACTGATGACACACCATTTATAATGGTCATCACTGTTTATCATTACTTCAAAAGACGGCCTCACTAAGATCTGAAAGCCCTGCATGGAATCAAATGGAATCCCTAGAAAGTTAGTTTAACTTATAGCTGGTGTCTCTGAGTGAATTCGATACCTCAACTAAAATAAAAAACGTAGTGTTTGTGTTGAGGTATATGTTAAAAATAACGTAAATATTCATCTACTGCATATAAAATCAACGCTTTTCATATGCTGTTGTATGGTTCTTTCGAAGAAGAGACGATTGTATAAAGAAAACGTCACAGATCTTTAAGTAGAATGGAATTAAGTTGCAATATGGGACGTTATTACAGTATGGTCCTTCTTTAGTAACGTACTTTCCTTACATGAAATTATAACCGTAGTTGCTAGGGTTATTGAGAGAGGTTCTGTCTATTGTCAAATATCATTACTGAAAATTACCATTTGAAGTGAAAACAGGTAAATTGAAAAAAAAGCTGAGCCTAAGTTTTCCTCCAAAGCCTCAGGATGGTCGGGGGTGGGTGCCTTGCGCTGCGGGTTGGCCACCCCTCCGCACACCTCTTGAAATGCTCCCATATGACCGGGCGTCTTACATAGCCTCTCCTGAGGAAGTCCTACTCACTGCCTTCACGTGGCGGAGGTGTTTTTCACTGAAGTGAGAGGGCGAAAGCGGATGCCCGGCGCTCTTCACCGGGTTGACTGTCCATTGGATGACAGTCTAGGGGAGATGGCTAAACCCTGATTCCAAACCTCCAAAGACTGGCGTATGTAGCTCACCGGCAGACGTATGGACAAAGGGCTTATTGGATGCCCTGGATGTCTGGTCCCATTCAAAAAGGCGTATGAACCGGACTCCGGTCACCGGCTGCCAATGGATAGTGGACTCCCTACTCCACTCTTACTGCCTTGTAGGTCACACTTGGTTGTGTAAAGGCTAGAGCTGCACTCTCAAACAAAAGGCCGAGCGATCCTGGGGACATCAATCGTACCTAATTCCCATGAAAATTCATGAACTCTCCACAACATCAACCAAATTCCAGTACTGGTCCAACAACGTCGCCTTCGGTGGTTTGGCTATGTTCTGCGCCGACCAGATGACGATCTGGTCAAATCAGTTCTAAATCCCTCGCCATTTCCATCTTGGCGATGTCGCAGCGGGGGGTGGACAGCTGAAAACATGGCTTGGCACAGTCAAGGCTGATATGGAATGCCTGGGGTTACAAACCGTCTACGGACTCCGTCTGTGGAACAAGAATTGGATAACCCTGTCGCAAAACCTTGCATCAGATCGCCGTGCCTGGGGAGCGATGATTTGAGATGTTCATGAAGCCGGCTCATCCTCCCGTAGGAGATAGCCGAAGTAAAGTAAAGTAAGTTATATGGAGTCTCATGAATATAATTGTTGTGAAGCTTTTCTGTTGAGTAAGTGAACCGTAACAGTTCACTAGGCGTGAATGATAAATTCTTGTTTTAGGAAAACCCAGTTTAGATAACCTTTTTCAATGAAAAAATATGATATTTTCTAATAACTGATAAATGCTGCTTATGTCCATTTGGTTTAATTATTTGCACAGTAAATAGTCAGTGGTGAAATAGTCATATTATTACCTTCTGAAAACAGAATCATTTTACCTACTGAATATGAACTAAGCTATATCGTAGACCGTGTCGAGAATTTGACCAGGTATTTACATCAGTTGAGCAGTATGGATCAAAGTTTCAATGTTAAGTTGTTCAAAAGAAAACGGTTACATACACTCAGCATAAAGTGGGGATTTTCAAAAAAAAAACCTGATTCTATTGCTAATACGTTGAGAAGGAAGTCTGGAAAAATATGTCACGCAGTGTTTATTCATTCGCAAACTTTTATATTCATGGAGTATAAGTGAAAGCGCAGTGTGAAAGCAAAGCCTCCTGAATTAGAGACCACACAAGTGATATACTCTGGTGAGTATTAAAAACTAAACAGTATGCCACTATAAACAGTGAAGTAGAAAACCAATACAAACATTCATAAATTAACTAAGAATTGTTTCTTTTATCGGATAAAATGAACTAATTTTATTTCGGTGAATTCTAGTCTGAAGAAGGTGGATAAACTAGACCCAGATAGATAGGAATACACTAAAAAATCTCAAAAAATAAGGAAATCATGAGGGAACAAATACAATTTTTGGAGACAAGATAAGCAAAGAGTAGATTTCCTGAGCACTTCATTCTATAACTGATGAAGAATCTGGGCGAAGTTTAATCGGAATTGAAGGACACATAACACTGCAGGAAATTTTAATGAATTCAGTTAAGTAAAAAACGGTACAAATATCTAGATTTGTGAAAATGTATACCAGACACAAAGTGAACATTGATATTCCATTCATAATTCTGGCAACCAACCAACGAAGATCCATTAGCCGAACAGATATGCCGGAGAAAATAAAGATGGATAGGACAAATTTTGAAGAGACCGTTGAGTGGGAACACGCACAAGGCCCTCAGGCAGAACTTAAAACTAAGAATGCGGAATTCGGGGATGATTGTGTGAGGAGGAGGAGAAGAGAGATTATAGACAATCGCGAAACCAGCTAAAGAGGACTGTGGCGGAGAAGATGAAATGGATATGTGCTGTTGAAGCCCCATATTCTACTCGAAAACAAATGGAATTATAAAAATAATAATCGTAACAATACCGCCTTCTGCAGGAATTATCATATTTCGAAAGGTACAGCTTGGACGTTTTATTCGGTAATGATCACTAAGGGTAAATCTGTTTTATAAAATGTGCAACACTTCCTTCCCCTTCACTACAATTTACTTGTGTTAAATTTTTACTTTTTGTTTGTTTTTAATTTTCCTCTTAATGGTTCACCCACGATTACACTCCATTCAGTTTAACGTTTGTCTTTAACTTCCGCTTATATTATTCAAATTATGGGTTTTGGGGGATTTTCTATCATTTTTTTGCCCTAAATCATTTCTTAATTTGAATATATTCATTACTGACTTCATCTTAATTGTTAGAATTTATAGGCTTTGTTTTATTAAGTTGACAGTAGTAAAATATAGTATGTTCTGTATATTTTGCAAAATATTTAATTCACCAACAATGTTAAGTGGAATGACGTTCCAGATGAGAATATTGTTATGTGTTGTATATTTCGTGGCATTTTCAATGTTCTCAATAAAATTCGAAATTTTAACACGTTAAGGATAGTATGGGAAATGATGAAAAAACTACTCAGACATAGATTCTAAGATTGTAAGATGACATGACTTATACAGTAGAGAAATGCATGTAAAAATTCTAAATGTGTTTTAAAACTCACGGGATACCTATCTTTTGTTTCTCCTGCGACAAGTTACGTACGGCCCATATTGTGACAGCAAGCTGATTATCTTGTACGTCATATTCCATGGATACATCTATTTCGAGTCGATTGAACCTGTCCATGGTGTCGAAACTCTTTTTTCGAAATTTAATAAACCCAGTCTACATATAAAAAAGACGGCAAATAGGGTGATATTCTTGGCTTTTCACCGAAAATAAATATTTTGAAGGGGGAGTGGCTCCGGATTATGTTTTTAAGATATCATTTATAACAAATTAAACCTCTCCAGATACTAGCTTGCTAGGCTACTAGCTTACTAGTTTTCTCGCCGGTCCCAAGCCCGGGTAAAGAGGGAGGGTTGGGGCGTGGTGCTAGCAACTCCACCCCTGTAAAACAACCAAATCGCTACAGAAACTTCAACGAATAAATATATTAAAAATTCTAAAAACATAAGCAATAGCCTTACTTTTCGCTGGAATCGGGGAAGTGAAATGACGCAGGCTGGTGAAAGCCTTCGGGAAGCCAGTCAGCCGATGTGCCTTCTTTCGATGAAAGCAAAAGTAAGGATGGGTACCTGGAATGTTCGCACAATGTACGAAACTGGAAAGGCTGCCCAGATAGCCGCTGAAATGAGAAGGTACAGAATAGAAGTGTTGGGAATCTGCGAGAGCAGATGGAACGGAACTGGAAGGTGCCAACTACCTACTGGAGAGACAGTAATCTATTCCGGCCACCTAGAGGACAACCATGAGCACACCGAGGGAGTGGCCATCATGATGTCACCAACAGCAACCAAAGCTCTCATGCAGTGGGAACCAATCTCCTCCAGGATAATGACAGCCAGGTTCAACTCAAAAGGAAGGAAAGTTACAGTCATTCAATGCTATGCGCCTACAAACGTCTCAGAACAAGAGAAGAAGGAGGCGTTCTACAGACAACTACAAGCAATAATGGACAACGTCCCAAATGGCGATATCAAAATCCTGATGGGCGACATGAATGCGAAGCTGGGACGAGACAACACAGGAAGAGAACTCACCATGGGTCGTGAGGCCCTCGGCGAAATGAACGACAATGGTGAACTCTTCTCAGACTTCTGCGCCTTCAATGATTTGGTGATTGGCGGTAGTGTGTTCAAACACAAGGATATACACAAGACGACATGGATTTCACCAGATGGAAACACCAAGAACCAAATAGACTTCATCTCAATTTCAAGAAAGTGGAGACGGAGCCTACTGGACACAAGGTCAAGGAGAGGAGCAGATGTGGGTTCAGACCACTATCTAGTACAAGGGACTTTCAAGGTGAAACTAAAAGCCTCGAGGATAGCTGGGGATAGGCCACAATGCAAGTTCAACACTCAATTACTGAAGGACACAACCACAAAAGACACTTCACTGCAACTGTCAGAGCAAAGCAGGAAACACTACGCGACATCACTGAAGAATCATGCGTGGAAGAACATTGGAAGTCTCTGAAGGCGATTCTCAACGAAACGTGTTCAACGGTTCTAGGAAGAAAGAAGAGACAAGACAAGGAATGGCTCTCAACGGACACTTGGAAATTAATAGAAGAGAGGAGAATGGTGAAAGAGAAAATGATTCAATGCAAGGACGGACAGGAGAAGGAGACGATGAGCTCAACTTACACAGCACTGGACAAAGAAGTGAAGAAAAGTGCTAGGAAGGACAAAAGACGATTCTACGACAACCTAGCCACTGAAGCTGAGAAGGCAGCAGGCAAAAGGGACCTGAGGACACTATATCAGATAACCAAATCTCTATCCGGGAAGAGACCAACACAAGCGAAACCTATAAAAGACAGCCAAGGGAAGCCATTACCAAGGAAGAAAAACAGATTAAACAATGGGCGGATCACTTCAAAGGACTCTTGAACCGACCATCACCTGCAACCCGTCCAGAAATACCAACAACAGCGCGCACACAACTGCAAGTTGACACCAATCCTCCAACGAGAGCTGAAGTCTTGAACGCAATCAAACTTCTGAAAGCTGGAAAAACAGCCGGACCAGATGGAATACCCCCTGAAGCACTGAAAGCAGACCCAGAGACGACAGCAGACATGCTGACTCCATTATTGCAAAAGGTCTGGAAGGAGGGAAAGGTGCCTACTGACTGGAGGAAAGGTTACCTCGTGAAACTACCAAAGAAGGGCGACTTAGGACTCTGCAAGAACTGGCGAGGAATCATGCTCCTATCGACGCCAAGTAAAATCCTGAGTCGCATCATCCTGGAGAGATTAAAGGACGCACTGGAGACAGAACTCCGACCAGAACAAGCTGGATTCAGGAAAGGCAAATCATGTACTGACCAAATTGCAACTCTACGCATCATCATCACAGAACAAAGCATGGAATGGCAATCAAACCTCTACCTCAACTTTATAGACTTTGAGAAGGCCTTCGACAGCGTTGACCGTGAAGTAATTTGGAAATTACTCGAGTACTATGGCGTACCCCAAATATTCATCAACCTTATTCAACAGCTGTACGACAACGGCACCTGCCAAGTGATCCACAACGGAAAACTCAGCGAGGCGTTTGGAGTAAACACAGGAGTCAGACAAGGGTGCTTATTCACCAATGATATTCCTAATTGTGGTGGACTGACTGGATTATGCGTCAGACAGTGGGAAACGAGAAGACAGGAATATCCTGGACCGACGTGAAGAACCTAGAAGACCTGGATTTCGCGCGTGGATGATTTATGTTTGATGTCACACACAATCGAAGACTTACAAGCGAAAACCGACAAACTGGTCGAAGAAGCAGCGAAGACAGGACTCCAGGTAAACATAGACAAGACGGAGGTTATGAAAATAACCAACCAACAACAACAACATCCAACGTCAATCACCATCAACGGGAGGGATTTGAAAGAGGTTACTTCATTCACTTATCTAGGGAGCATTGTCTCAACTACAGGAGGAACGGACGAGGATGTCAAATCGAGCGAGAATCGGGAAGGCGAGAAACACATTCATCAGCCTGAAATCAATCTGGAAATCTTCGTCACTCAGCATCACACAACAAAATTCGGATTTTCAATACAAACGTAAGTCAGTCAGTTCTTCTATACGGATCAGAAACTTGGCGGGTCACAAAGAATATTTCCAAAAGGCTGCAGACCTTTATTAACAACTGTCTTCGCTCATACTGAAGATCAGATGGCCGGAAAGAATCACCAACAAGGAATTATGGGAACAAACAAAGCAAGAACCAATCGCCCAACAAATATGCAGGAGAAAGTGGAGATGGATCGGACACTCGCTGAGGAGACCGCTGGGTGACATCGCGCGCCAAGCCCTCGAGTGGAACCCGAAAGGGAAGCGGCGTGTGGGACGTCCAAGGGTGACATGGAGGAGATCGTGTGAAGAGGAGTTGAAAGAATATGGATTAACATGGATGCAGGCGAAAAGTATAGCAGAAGACAGAAGAAAATGGAGACGTGCAGTTGAAGCCCTATGTTCCACTAGGAACCCAAGGGGCAATAATAATAATAAATAATATAACAAATTAAGACTTACTTTAATCGAACTAGCAGTTAAGTAAAAGGTTGCAATCCAAATTTAATTCTGTTTTAGTGGAGTATTTAACCATCGGATGCTTAGTTTATATAAACAATTATGCAGTTCTCACTTCAGATTATTCACCACACATTTTATTTGTAGTGAATTCTCATTCTGACTTATATGAGTAGGCGGTGACGACTGAGGTTACCAACTACCACCATGTGACCTAAACACTGCACGTCCAATTAGACCTGAGGTTATGAGTAATGTTTCGGGTTAAAGCTTAGCTTGGAGAGCCAAATAAGTTCAAAAAAAAACTAAATTCCGCTCTATTACTAAGGTGACCTGCATCGAAAAAATGTCCTTTTTTGAAGCTAAATGTAGTGTGAGTATTTTAGGCTTCTTTAGAAAGTAGCGAATCCTAACCTGGAATGGTATGACTTGAAAATGACAAAATTAACTCCGTCAGAAATATTATTTTGAAAGAAATAACAAGATTTATAGATCAAACAGACGATTCATTTAGATGCTTCAGCAGCTAAGCTTTTACGAATTCTCTGGACAATACTTTCAGCACTGATTTAAAAATTAAATGAGCTTACAGTTTAACGAAACCTCATCAACGAAATTAATGTATCAATCCTTGGAATTATATATTTCTTTTAGTGGAAAATGTAAATTATGAAAATAACCCCTTTTTCTTGGTTATCATAAATACAGAGCGAAAGAAATGTCACATAATTTGGCTGTTTTTTTTCTATACATGGTTGCGGGCTTTTAGTGTAGATTAATCATTAGACTGGTTCTGTTCATTTCATATCTAACAATATATATGGAAACATCATGGAGTCATTATTTTCAGACAAAGAAATATATAAGACTTACGATGAATATTTTATCTGTTAATGGGACTTTGTAGCAGGATTTCACATACAACCACAATTGATACTAAATATACGTTTCCACTGAATAAACATTTTAATAATTATTACATGTTAGCCTGGCTAACTTGTTCCTTACCTTAAAAGAATGTATTTTTGCTAAGTTAATTAAATTAAATCTATGCTACGCCAAAATTTGATTTCATGCCAAAATGTATGCAAGACCTGGAATTTACACATTATAAAACTATTCACATCGTTAGAGTGAATATTACTACAAGTCGTCATACGTGCACATCTTCAAGATTGGGCATTTACAGATGTACCGGAAATCATAATCAAAATACTAGATTTAAAATAACTAACTGAATAATTCACGTACAGACTTCATAGGAAAAAAAATGATAACAGTTATTGTTTTTGAACAAAGCAAGAACTACAGTTTTAGCAGAATAATGTGGTACCATCATTTATTTCGTTGGCTTCTCATCAGCTGCTTACAGCCTAAATAAATTATGAGGTTTAAGTTTAGACATGTTTTAACATACTTGCAAATTTTACATGTTGTCAGTTTACAGAAATTTACGTGTATCTGCGAGAGGAGTTACATTGGAAGAACAGAAAGAAGGGCATATCTACGATTTTCTGAACACGTACCAAAAAGCCTACGACTAAAGGGAACAAATGCTCTAAACAGTGCCATCGCCAGGCATCTCCTCGACACGGGTCATGAGGTGGACGTCGAAAAGTCGTTCAAAATTATCAATAGGCAAAAGAGCTCAATTCTCCTTAAGTTTGCTGAAGCGATTTCTATCAAACGCTTGAAACCTGATCTATGTGTTCAGAAAGAAGCAGTTATTAGTCTTTCCTTGCCTTGGTAACTGGATGCTTTTTTTTCTCTCATCTGATTACGTAATCTTTGTCTTTAACCTCACCCTCCCTTTTATAATCTATAATTTTGTTTGTCTCTTGTTTCTATGATTTGAGCTCAACTCAGTTCATTGTTACCTAACTTACTAGTCACTATGCATCTAACGCATATCTCATCTTTATTACGTAACTCTTTTATCATTTTCTGCATACATTTATTTTGTTTTAACTTGAACTGCCTGTGTGAAAACTATATAAGCGCAATCTTCTGAGCACTGTTTACAAATTGTGGAATTTTCTGTCAAGTGACAACATGTAAAATTTGCAAGTATGTTAAAACATGTCTAAACTTAAACCTCATAATTTATTTAGGCTGTAAGCAGCTGATGAGAAGCCAACGAAATAAATGATGGTACCACATTATTCTGCTAAAACTGTAGTTCTTGCTTTGTTCAAATTCATTAAGGGGAAAAATGTATGAAAGAAAAGTTATTGTTTCACTTGATATACTTAATACCTTAGGAAACAGGATACCAGAGATTAAGTGACCTAGGGTACATCCACCGATAAGAATAAATATAATTTTTTTCTTTCTTCTTTTACAGATAGGTCGATTAATTAAGTGAGAGCTTCTGAAATTCATGATATGAATAGTAAACGAAAGCTATCTCACTATTTCAAGAAGTACGAAACACGACGAAGTGAGAACCAGGACAGATCTAGGTGATAAGGTTTCCCAATCTTAGAACTTACGACAGTGCATATTCAAAATGCCGGAAGTAAGGAATCGAGAGACCACCAAATAATTAGTAAGGCAAATCAGCATGCTATTACTCTAATGAAAATACATGCCGAATGATGTATATACAAATGTTTATCTGACTCACTGTATCTAATATTTACCAGAAGAAATATAAAATCGAATTGCCCTTCTCATCTTTTCTTACCTCTTCTGAATTACTAGGAATAACCTGCTTGCCTAAGGATTCACTGGGTTGATATGAAGGAGGAAAATTCAGCTCCAAAGCGCTGTGCGATAAGGTTTTCATCTCGTTAACAGATTTGGGATTTGATTTAAGCGATTCCAATGATTTATTCTTAAACTTATTTCGAGTAAGTTTACGGCGTAAAAATCTTCGTTTTCGCCCTCGTTTTTTCATTACTCGAGTACTTTGTTCAGATACCTAATATAAAACAAAATCAGAAACTACAACAATTATAATGTAATTGATAGGTACGTAACATCACTAAGGCAAAAAATGCAACTGTTTGTTTCCATTACTTAGGCTTTGATAAAGTTAAGAAATTATAAAGTTATACTTGTAAAATCTCAGCAAAATTCAAATGATTAATTCCAACGTTTTGTTCGGCAATATATAAACTTAGAAACTTGAATCAGCTATTAATACAATAAGTTTTGAAGCAGTGAATAAATATTCCGTTGAATAAAACATACTATGTGTAAAGGAAAAAAGTAGTATAAGCAATTTAGATGAATTAATATGCGTGTTCGACAGGCCATATTAGGCATATATGATCGACAACGTTTGCTTTAAAATGAAGGAAAGTTTGTAAATTGTCATTGTAAAGCAACAAAATGAAATGAAATACTTCAGTGTGTGATGTGCACCCCATTTGTGAAATCGCATTTTTCGAATCAATCATCGGGTTAGGTGGTCAGTGATGAAACACATATCATCTCTGCACTTTTTGATATTTCACTTCTCACTTTTTACCCGTCATTATAGTTATCCATCGTACCGGTCTCTCATTTACTCGCCGACTCACTACACATACCCACATCATGCACCACTAGTACAAATAACACTTCCTCCGCTCATAACTAGGATTCGTCAAGCACAACGGATATGACAAGAAGTCATCAAAAGGTGAGGAAACTACCGCCATGAATGAAACAGAAAAGTAGTGCTTAACCTTATTTAGTGATCCGTCTTGCTCAAAGTGCAAATAACAGAAGGCTTAAAATATGCATGACATATAGTAAGCTGTATTATACAATTAGTTGTGGTTCAAATGCACCAGAAGCCGTGTATTCATTGCCAAAACTCCACAGCTCTGTTTCATCCAGCAAATCACGAGTCACCAAATAAATTGTCACCAGACAAACCCATGAAACATTTTATGTCTTTCGAAAATTCTACCTCCCCTGGATTTCGCAATTCTGCGACTCACCGGAAGACTACATCTAGATTTTGTTATATACTATTTGATAATTGGATGGTTGTTGCTCAACACTGAGGTCTTCAATTATCATTTATCATACTGAGACTGTGATCTTGAGAAGTGACAGTAACTGCAGAGCATTCAGTTATGTTCCAGTGAGATTGGATATGATTATTATCCCTTTGGATTCCGAATGGAATATAGGGATTCAACAGCAAACCACCACTCCACCCTGTTCTACACAGTCCTCCTTAACCACCTCCACAATCGTCCACAGGGCATCTTCCCCTCACACGACCTCCTCCATGTCAACACAAGCCCACCCCAAGCCCTTCGTGGCATCATCATATAACTGCTGAATTAGATTTATAAAGGGTTGAAGTTTTGCACTCAACAGTATCGGATCACATTATTGTCGAGGATGTCGAAGTTCTCTTCAGTGTTAATGAATCGCATGTAGAAATTTGAATGCTATTCTATGCTCTGTTCTATGATGATGCGTAACGTTACCACGGTTTGCTCTTCCCGAATCCAGTTTTCCTGTGGACAAGGGCGTTTGGCGTCGAGAGTATCTTTCAGTCTCTCCAGGATGACATGACTTAAAATTTGGCTTGAAGTGAACAAGAGATTGATTCGGCACCAGTTACCGAAAAGGTGTAAGTCGCCAGTCTTTGGTAGTTTGACAATTTTGACGTACTCCCAAACTTTGTGCAATAGTGACGCGAGGAAGTCCCATGAACACTTTCGACCAGTTCCTAGTGCATTCGGAGGAATTTCGTCCTGTCCTGCAGCATTAACGACTGTTTCTCAGTAGCCTATTAGAACTTAAAACTTCTGGTTCTGCTGGAGGATTGGCTTTCACTGATAGTTCTGTGATACTTCACCGTAGTTCCGGACGAGTTCCAGGTGGCATTGGATATAAGTGAATAATAAATCAAACTGTATTCGGCAAGCTCTTCAATCAAGAAGCATTCTCGAGGAATAGATTTTATTATTGAGATGGTCTTTCATATAGGGACACAAACGGTGACACGTACTGCAGTACTCCCTTCTGAAATCATAATATTATCTTAACATGCTACCAATTTAATTTCCTATATTTTCAAACAATCAACTCACAACACCAAATCAAGATTTCGTGCTCAATGACATTTGTATAAAACAGAAGCGTATTTAAAAGTCATGAAGTAGAGATATTTTTCAAGAGTTTCAAAAGCGTATAACTCAGTACCGACTGTATTCAAAGATAGATTTCACCATTGATCTGTTGCAGCTGGTATTGTCCTCCCACAGAAGCATGATATTCACATTGATTTGTCGGCGCACCGAAACAAATATCGTGTTGTCTGGTTCGCAGTGAAAACAGAATTCAATCGGTCATTCTCCTTTTCATATTCTCGCGAAAACGCTTTCATCAAGAATTGGCAATATTAGCATACTGAGACAAATGCAACTTTAAGTAAAAGACAGTTTTAAATGTAGACTGATACAGTCTTTGTCTTCGCACTAAGAACAGTCGATAAACGCTGCAAGTCGCTAGTTGATGTTATAAGTACTAATTTAATAATAAATATTGTGGTTTGTCGTATGATATTTACTACCGAATACTGTTGCACTGATATCCATTGGTGTTACTGATATTTCCTCGTTGTTGAAATGTATAAACTGAGTTTTCTTGATTAAAAAATAATGATTGAAAATGACAACAAGTTTACGATGTTTGATAATGACATAAAAATAAAATTCTAGCTGATAATATTAAAACTGAAATAGTTCATCCTGCAGAAATGAGTATTTGGTTAATTTCATCGAGGACTATTTGACTGTATTATTTTAGAACAACAACAACAAAAAAAACAATAATGGTAATAATTGAACCTACAGCGGGATTTTGAGCCTTGTCAAGACGTGTATCATTTTCATGATCTACAATTATAAAAACAACAACAGCATATGATTGCACTGAAATGCGCCTTTTGTAGTGAACTAGCTGTATACCAGCATAATCTTTAACCCATTCACTTGGAATGTGAGAGATAAACTGCAACTAGACGGTAGTCTAATCTAAATTATTAAATTGCAGTTATTTGAGAGGCATCGCTAATAGTTGTTCGCAAGCAAACCTTGTTTACCTTGTCTATTGTGATTCTGATTTATGTAAGCTAATCGACGATAAGCGATGCCTCGACACGCCTTCGTTTCATTGTCACCTGTTTTCTAAATCGTACAAAAGTTTGGTTGTTAGTTGTCAATGCTCACTACTGATCGTTTATATCACAACAAATTAAAACAATTCTGTTACTTTTAGCTTTTTCATTTAAGTTAACTCAGGGATAATTCAGTTAAAGGTTTTATTGACTTATTACAGATTATTTGAAATATATGATTTCTGAAGGGCTAAATTAGATTTCTCTTTGACGTCTATTCTTACTACCGTATCCTTCCTTAATACTGTTAAAGCTACTTGCCGATAGTATATTGATTACACTCACAGTATGACCATATCAATTTCAATGTGTGTATTGAATTGCAAAAATGTGCTGTTTTCAAGTATGCATTCACCGCACATTCATCTCTCAAAAGACATTTTGTAATAAATTGCCATTTGCCTGACGTCAAAGCGTAGATTAATTATCTACATACGATGTGTATTAGTGTAACAGTGACATGCCTAGAAATCTAAATAAGTATATATATATATGCATATTATATATGCATATTATATATGTATGTAGTCAGCATACTCTCGAAATTTGGCTTAACAGATCAAATCTCTCATATCTTCTAAAATCAAAAAGTTTTCATGTATAATAGGTGAGTTGCTTTTGTTGTCTGCTGACTCAATGAAAAGTGAAAAAGTTGACAATACATTTTATTTTTCCTCGAAGTTCAATTTGAAATTTTATAATGCTTACAGTGAAAATAAACGTCATGCAAGAAGAATACTTTTTTGAAATATAAAAGTGAGGCCAAGGATTGAATCATGAATGGAACCAATTAAAGCACAAAAGATCAAAATTTTCAGTCAGCGGATAAACAAGTCCCAATGCTCAAAGCAGTGACCGAAATTCGGCGAGTAGCTGTTGCCTACCAATTCACGTATTCAAGCCGGGGGAAGTAAAGCAGAAATACAGTGACTCAGTTTGTCTGGATTTTGAAAATATACATTTCAAATAAACTATGCCTGAAATGAACACGAAGTGAAGTGAATCACCAAAGTAGAAGGTTGTGAAAAAGTGCAGCTACTGAAATAGGCACACTCCCTAAAAGCACCTTGAATATTAAGGTAAAAAATACAATGAAACTGCAATAAACGAAAATTTACTGAAGAAAGAGTACCAACAATGAACAACAGTCAAGAGTCCTGTGATGCGAAGAGGAGAGAAGGTAGTGAAACCATCCACGCTAGTTTAAGCATTGTCACCAACAGTCTGCAACCATTGATTCCCAGAATGCCAGATCCCCACGAAGCTAAAACTAACAGCCACAGACTTCGTGGATTGGAGTGATGTTTGCCTCCTATCAGAAGAACTCCTTTCCATCTCAATCTTCCACCAACTCCTTGATGTTATTACTTCTAAATTTTGATGAAGAAGTGGTAGCATCATCATCAATGGCTTAATTTGTTCAACACATAAACTTTCGTAATTCACATGGATTAATCCTATTGTTATTCCCATGAGTTCGGAGTGAAACAGAAGGCTTCAACGGCATATTTTCAAAGTCACCTACCATGGTTGTTGATTTATGTTCCGAAACGCAGGCAATTTCGAATTGTTATATTGTGTGATAGATCTGCCTAGCTTACTGGCCTCACTGGTTTTCAAAAGACTATCATGATGTCACCACCAGCAGTCAAATCTCTCATGCGGTGGGAACCAATCTTCCCCAGGATTATGACAGCTGGATTTAACTCGAAGAGAAGAAAAGTAGGGAGGTTACAATTATTCAATGCTATGCTCAATGCAAAGATGGACGACAGAAGAAGAAGGAAGACAAGCTGAGTTCGGTGTACGTCGCACTAAATACAGAAGTGAAAAAGGGCTAGGACAGACAAAACACAGCTCGACGACACACCGCCAACTGAAGCAGAACAGACAGGCCGCAGGTTAAAGAGACCTCAGAAAACTATACCAGATAACTAGGTCTCTATTAGAGAAAAGAACAACACATTTGACATCTACATAAGTTGATCAAGGAGACCCAATTGCTAGAGAACAGAGACAAATAAAACAATGAGCTGATCACTTCAAAGAACTCTTGAATCAACCGTCACCTGTAACACATCCAGAAATACACCACCAACTCCGGCCACAGAACTGCTAGTGAACACCAATCCTTCAGTGAGATAAGCAGAACAACCAGATAGAATCCCTTGTGGAGCACTGAAAACAGACACAAAGACCTCAACAGATATGCCGACACCACGATCGCAAAACATTTGAAAGAGAGGAAACGTATCTACTGGTTGGGGGAAAGATTACCTTGTTAAACTGTCAAAGAACGTTAACTGAGGCTTCTGCAAGAACTGGCGCGAAATCACAACCTTGTCCACACCGAGTAAGACGCTAAGTCGCCTCATCCTGAAGAGGGTAAAAGATGCACTGAATAAAGAATGGCGACTGAAACAAGCTGGATTCAGGAGAAGCAAGTCATATGAGGATCAAATTGCAACCATCGGCATCATCATCGAACGAAGCATAAGATGGCAGTCAACTCTCCATCTTAATTTAATCGACTTTGAAAGGGTCTTAGATGGCGTTCACCGCGAAGTAATTTGGAAACCACTTCAAAACTATTATATATTTTGTGATTATTTCATTTACCTCCTCTATGTCCTGAGTGGAACATAGAGTTTCAAGCTACAGCTTTTAAGTTTCGATAGCAATGGTTTTAATTTTTCAGTGTGAAATGATAAACATCACGCCCGACCTTACCTATTCATCAGGCTTAGTACTATCTTAGTGAAGATTAGGAGTGAGTCGACCGGGGATCGAACACCGGAACACGTGGATGGTTGGCGAGCATTCTACCACTGAACCACCAACATACACTCCAACACTGTACAGTGTCCAAAATCGTCATCAATCTCATTCGAGAACTATATGACAATGCCACATGTCAAGTGATCCACAACGGAAACGTCAGCGAAACTGCTGAAGTGAAGACGGGTGTATGACAAGGCTGCCTACTATCACCAACGATGATATTCCAGATTGTGGTGGACTATCTATGTGTCAGACTGTTGGGAGCGATATGACGGGAAATTCAACTATAGTCGGAGGGACGAATGAAGATATTAAAACGATAATTAGACATTCATCACTCCGATATTAGCTTGATAATCGGCGGCGCCTAGCTCAAGGAATAAAAATTGGGATTTTATACTGCAATAATAAGTTAGTTCTTCTACATGGGCTAGAAACTTTGCGTGTCACCGTAAGCACTTCCAACAGTTTGCGAACCCTTATCAACAGCTGTCTTCACTCGGTGCTGAAGATCGGATGACCAGAAACAATTAACAACAAGAAACTATGGGAATGAAGGGACCCAAAACATACTGATCACAAAATATACAGAAATCAAGAAAGATGGACCGGACACACAATGAGGAGACATTTCCGGGACAACGAGCGCCAGGTCCTAGTCTGCAGAACCGATGGGAGACGAGGAGTTGGGCGTCCAACTGTGACGTGACAAAGGTAGTCTAAGGAGGAGATCAGAGCTTATGGGCGATCATCAAACCAGCTAACGAGGACTGTAGAGAACAGGACACAGTGGAGATGTACTGACAAAGCTTTACGTGCCATTAAGAAAAAAGAATACCATTACACGTAAACACATCAAGTGATACCAACCACCATTCATCAGAGCTCAACCAAAACGCATTTGTTAACAGTGCTCTTCTACTTCATATCTGCAGTTGTGACTTACAAGCCGAATTCATCACCTATCGCAAAAGCAGTCTGACTTCATAAACAATAGAACCTCATGACCTCATATATCCTAGTATGTTACAAGTTGATTTTTGGCACAGGATATGCGAAAAATTATCCTAAATATATCACATTCTGACAACAGATTTGAATGAAATTTATTGAAAGCAATATAACTAGTCATAGGAATGGTATTATTGACACACTCACTTTGTCTCAGTGGCAATGACTGAAGCGAGAAAAAATTAACAAATTTTGTAGTCATTGATAAATTGACATTTTTTACATGTTAAGAAAATCTCTATCGACTGATCCTGCACGATTATGGCGTTTGAGAATGATGTTTGTACAACATGAACAAATGAAAACTCCCCATATTTGGTAAAGAAATGTTTGATAGCATGTCACTGCTCAGCTGAGTTCTGTACAAACACATAAGACCATTAAATATAGCAATTAAAACTAGGGTTGTACACTCAACTTCCGTTTTATTTCAAAACAAAAATTGTCATTATTCGGCAATAAATTGAGTGACCATTTAAAGCCAGAATGCAGTAGTTGGCTGCTTTGTTACGGAACTCAAGAACAGCGAACGTTATAAAACGTGTCCAACAGAGCTGAGCACATGCAGATAGGCACATTAATTGAGTGAAATATACAACTGTTCTTCCCTCGTAACTTCTACCTCACTAAACAGCGAAGTCACAGAAGACAAAGACTGGCGAAACAACTTTATTTAAGAAAAATACATGAAGACCGGTATTTTTATCGCATACACTCTCTTGGTAAGTGACGAAATAACTCCTAATTAGCTTTATGAAGCCCGAAATCGTCCATCGATGTGATTTGAAAATCAAAAACTTCTGTATCAGCATTAAACAAACTAAAAGTCAATTTTAACTGCTTATTCAATCACTTATGACATACGAATTCTGACCGTTTATAATACTCTATCAAAGATGAAGTTGGATGGAAACACACTTTTGGTAT